CCCGTGGCTCAGTGGTGAAGAATCTGCCTGAAATGCAGGAGATGCAGGTTCGATCCCTGGGTCAGGAGGATCCCCTGGAGGTGGACATGGCAGCCCACTCCAGTATTCTTGCCTGGAGAATTCCATGGACAGAGAGGCCTGGCAGGCTACAGTCCAAAGGGTCACAAAGGGTCGGACACAACTGAAGCGACTTAGTACATGCACATGACGTCATCATTATTAACACATTCTTTGTCTCTCTCTTTCTCTCTCTCTCTCCACCCCCGCACACACACATGCGCATGCTTCTAACTTTCTTGTGTCTGATTCTACTGGCATCGGGCTCGTTATCTTCCACTCTGCTGTATGTTAAGGGACATTCTCACAGTTCTCAATTTGAGGCGAAAAGAGCACACTTCAATTCTGCCTCAAGTCGAGTCAGAAAAGTCTGGGAAGGATGCTGACTGGTCAGTTCATGCCACATGCCCTCTTACTAACATTATCATTGTGTCTAGTCACACGTAGTCCAGTGACTGTCATCTCTGACAGCTCCTTAAGAAATTCATGAAATAAGAGAATCACCTGGCCCTCTGAGCCTGTGTTTTCTCATCTATAAAATGAGGAAAGTGGAGAGAGCTGTTAAGACTCCCCCAGCATTAACCTAATTCTACTTTAAAACCTCTTCATTTTTGGTGTTCTAGTTGCTACATCTTTGTCTCTCTTACATGTCCTACCTCCCCCTAGAAGGTCAAGTAACATTAGGAGATAACAATTACAACCTTGGCTCAACTCTGAGTTTCTCTAAATGAGGAAAGGGGCAGCTCCTGCAGTGCCCCTCACATGAAACTACAAAGTGTTATAATTCAGCCTTGACCATATTTAGCCACCATTTATACTGAAGATATGAGATGGTCACAATTTCAAAATTTGTGAAGCATCCCAAATTTAGCATTTTGCCTGAGTAAAAAAAGAAGCAGATCATGTGGAAGGTCAACTGGAAATTTTCCTCTCTTCCCTTACACTGGGGGCATGAAACAATGTTTATGTAACTGGTTCCAATTCAGACATAGCCCAGGTTTCAAGCAGTTAAAATGTGGTAGTTTCCATATTATTTACCTATTTCAACATCACTGAATATGCATACTTCATTCTAAATTCATGTGACATCCTCTTCTTTGAAATACCTTCCCATCTGCCAACAATGTTTATCCATCCATCTGCTCTGTCACATCCACATTTCAGCTGCCATAATCTTTGTTCATCCTGGTTCTCTTATTAGACCCTTAGTTCACACACAGCAGAGACCATACCTTCAGTTAAGTTCAGTTCAATCGCTCAGTCATGTCGGACTCTGCAGTCCCATGAAGTGCAGCATGCCAGGCCTCCCTGTCCATCACCAACTCCCGGAGTTTACTCAAACTCATGTCCATTGAGTCGGTGATTCCATCCAACCATCTCATCTTCTGTCGTCCCCTTCTCCTCCTGCCCTCAATCTTTCCCAGCATCAGGGTATTTTCAAATGAGTCAACTCTTCACATGAGGTGGCCAAAGTATAGGAGTTTCAGCTTTAGCATCGGTCCTTTCAATGAACACCCAGAACGGATCTCCTTTAGGATGGACTGGTTGGATCTCCTTGCAGTCCGAGGGACTCTCAAGAGTCTCCTCCAACACCACAGTTCAAAAGCATCAATTCTTCAGTGCTCAGCTTTCTTTATAGTCCAACTCTCACATCCATACATGACCACTGGAAAAACCATAGCCTTGACGAGACGGACCTTTGTTGGCAAAGTAATGTCTCTGCTTTTTAATATGCTATCTAGGTTGGTCATAACTTTCCTTCCAAGGAGTAAGCATCTTTTAATTTCATGGCTGCAATCACCATCTGCAGTGATTTTGGAGCCCAAAAAATGAAGTCTGACACAGTTTCCATCTATTTGCCATGAGCACTCAGCAATGTTTGTTTTCTTGACTTCACAAATGACGCTTCTCGAGCAAATTTTTGTTAAAAGTTTCTATCAATACAGTCTGATTGGGACATCCCTGGTGGTCCATTGGCTAAAACTGCACTCCTAATGCACGGGGGCTAGGCTTAATCCCTGACCAGAGAATTAAATTCCACATGCCACAGGTAAAAATCCCACGTGCCACAACTAAGACCGAGCACAGTCAAATACATAAACAAAAATATTTTTTAAAATATAGTCTGACTTATGGTAATCCTAATAGTGGAATTACACTGCAGAGAGCAATCCAGCCATGGCCCCAGAAAGTCCCGTGAGTCAGTAGCCTGGAGGAGAGTTGCCTTCACGCCTTTACATCGGTGTTGTCACCGGCAACCTCTTCTTTACAGGGCAAGCATGGCACGCAGTCCTCTGAGAACAGTGTTGCCTACTGGGTAAAGCAGATCCATAGTGAATGCTATAGGTCTGTCATCCTTCACATTTTCTTGTGTAGTTTCTCAAGATTCCTGCCATTAGATTTATTTCTTGCGATAAAATACTTCTTGCCTGATAGTCCCTATGAAAATGCGAATAGATTACCTAGTAGTGGGCAGTCTTACTGTGGGCATGGATTCTTAAAGGTTAGACGCATATAAGGGAAAACAAGCGTTGAGAGCACTTGAAAGTGGACAGACCTGTTTGTCTCCTGGCCACCTATGGCTCATCTTACCCTTGGCTCAGCCACGTTCAGTTGGCTAAAGGAAAATGTGGTTAACAGGACTCCTGGTTACATGAGGGCAGGGCAAGCAGTGTGCATGCAGATGACTGGAGAGTGAGCGGTCAGACACTCCTGAGCTGAGGGGACTCGTGGGCTTATGGGCTCCCTCAAGGCTCTGGTTCTTCTGAGGGCACATTTGGTTTTGCTGCCAAGAAGGATTCATTTTCCTGTTCTGCGTCTCAATGCCTCTGGGCCCCAGCAGATCACTGGACAGGCCCTCATTGGTGACAGGACAGCTATGGGAGAGACATCGCTTGAGAAGGCACCCTGTGCCATCACAGAGGGGCAGTGCCGTTGAACAGGCCTCAGCCAGTGCAGCAGTCTGCCCAGTGTGTGGAGGACATCTCAGCTGCCTAATGGAACTTGAGGCGGTGGGATTCTTTTCCCATCACCTGGCCATCACTCGGGTTTGAAAGCTCTGGTTGCCGCAGTCTTTTCCATGCTATAAGACTGATACTTCTGTTCAATAAAATTTCATGAAATATTGACATTTTAGTGGGACTAGTCAGTGAGTAAGATTCCTTGGTGGCTCAGATGGTAAAGAATCTGCCTGCAGCACAGGAGACCTGGGTTTGATCCCTGGGTCAGGAAGATGCCCTGGAGGAGGGCATGGCACCCCACTCCAGCATTCTTGCCTGAAGAATCCCATAGATAGAGGAGTCTGGCGGGCTACATTCCATAGGGTCGCAAAGAGTCAGACACGACTGAGCAGCTAATACTTTTTTCCCCATCAGTGAGCAGTTACTATCTACTGTGCTTGAATTGTTGCATGAATAACTGTTTAGAAGCCATATAGGAGCATACTGAGATCACATTCATCATGATGGGATAGGTGGTACCCCAGGGCTGTTCAACACTGTGTATGTTCTGTTCACCACACAGGTATCTTAGATTTCAACTAGATATGTGTGACCTTAGAGAAGTTCTCAATCCTTCTCAGCAACCATTTTCTTATATATTTTTTAAATGTTGTACTTTTTGATTTACAGTGTTGTGTTAGTTTCAGCTGTACAGAAAAGTGATTAATTATACATATTCATATATCTATTCTTTTTCAGATTCTTTTCCCAATATTGAGTCCATTTTCTTATCTTTAAAGTAGTAGTAAAAACATATAGTCTACTGTATTGAAAAGAGGATTAAATGAGTTGATGAACAAATAACAAAGTGCCTAACACTGAACCTAGCACATAATTGAGGTGCATTGGTGATCTACTCTTATTTTTAAGTTGCAGATGACCCCAGAATGTTGGTATGAAGGCAGTAAAATACAGCATTTACAGTCAGCCCTAAGATCAAATCTCAGCTCAACCACCTATTAGTCATCTATAGAATTTTGGACTAGTTAAAGTTTTCAAAGCTTCAGTTTCTGCATATAGGAATAATGATGATACCTACATCCTGAATTTGAGTAGATTAAAATAAAGAATACATATGAAGTACCTTTCGTAGTATCTGGCTCATAGTAGGTATGTTATCAAGGGTAACAATCATTGTTAGCATCTGTAATGGAGGATTTGAAGAAAAGCAGCAGCAAGGTTACAGTCTCTTGGATGCCTCTGTGTGTTATCTGGTCTTTTCCTGCTCTAGATATTTGGATGAAGATGAATCCACATTAATAGAGGCAATGGTTAATTGCCTCCTTGTGGTCTGGACCTGTCCCGTAGCAGCCAGTTACCATATTCTTCTTTTTTCTTGAGGCTTCCACTGGGATGTGTCAGTTCTAATTCAATAGACCTCTTTTTTTAGTGCCTGGCTCAGAGAGGCGATACCACATGCACATTTCTGGATATATCATCTATATGAACACTCAGACCTTAACTACATGGCGAAAGCAATCCAGGAGGGACAGGTGTAGGTATTATTTCACATCCACTTGAACCAGTGCCAACCAAACTTCCACAGTTAATTGTGTCTCAGAGAGTTTCTCCTGGAAAAAAATAATGATTATGCATACTTCTAGCTGTTGCTTAGACTCCTTTTGTTCTTGACTTTGCATTGTCTACAGTCATGTAATATATCAAGCAAATGAATAGGTATATATCCTCCCACCCTAAGTCTCCCTCTCCCTTCCCAATTCAAAGTTAGTCAGTCCACCTTTTCCTTGCAATTCCAGTAGTATAGGAGGAAATGGAAGCTGTATATCATAGTAGCTGACTCTTTGGAAAAGCATGCTCCAAGTTAGGGCCAAAAGTGCAAATGAAGGGAACTGGGGGCTAGGGAAATGTAATCTGTTCAGAAGGTTTTTCTGAATGGGTAAGGACAATCCCCAGGAAAATTATGGTCTTCCTTCAATCTCACAGGTAATGCAGGTGGTGAAGGAACAGGTTATGAGAGCTCTTACAACCAAGCCTAGCTCCCTGGACCAGTTCAAGAGCAAACTGCAGAACCTGAGCTACACAGAGATCCTGAAAATCCGCCAGTCTGAGAGGATGAACCAGGAAGATTTCCAGTCTCGCCCGATTTTGTAAGTTACCTCTGACCCCTGCCTTCTAACAGCTCTGACGCACCATTTCTAGGGTGAAAGCCTATCACCCAGCTGGGCTGTGTTGCAGTCTGTTTATGGAAAGCCAACGAAAGATCTCTACTCAGTTCCTGAAGTCTCAGCAACTCCTTGAGGAAGGCTGGGCAGGGGTGGGCTATGGGGAGGTGGAGGCAGGAGGTGCTGGCAGGAGGATCTAAACCAAGAAGTGACCCAGTTACTGCTGAGTCCTCTAAGGATTTGCAGCTGAAAAGACTGGAAACTTTTCTAATACTTGGGACAATCTTTTTTGTTTTGTCCATAAAGCTATACTCTATATAGGCACTCTTGAGTGGCAAGATGTTCTGCTTCAGCCAGAATGAGACTTAGCAATAATTAAAACAAGAAGAACATTGAAGTGTCATAAGTGGGAGGGAGCATGAGCTTGAAACGGAGCAACCCACTGCCTCCCGGCCCCATTGGCTCTGCCTCGCATCAGAACATCTCATGTGGCTATCAGCAGAACATCTCTTGTAGCTATCAACCCAGAGGCCTGAGGTGAAGAATCAGGGGGCTCCTTTTCATAGGACTTTGCATCAGGTGCACTTGTAATGGTTGTGTAATTTCATCTCCATCTTTATGATGTTCTAAACCTTGAACGTGAACACTGTTTTAGACTGTTGTTTCCTTTATCTTTTCTTAGTATTGACCTGTTTATCTTCCTGTGTCCTTTTCTTAGAACTAGGTCAGTTTTGTTACCTTATACTTCATAGGGAAGAAAATAGGAAACAGGATGGAAAGTAAAGAAGGTGTTTGATATTTACTCTCATACTTCCCTCGAAAGACTGAACGTGGCTTCTTCTGAACTTTCCTATGAAACCATCTTACATCATTGGTGTCATGAAGCACCTTGTCAACATCTCTCTCTCTGATTCCTTTTCTTTATCCCTGCTTTCTGTTTCTTGCTTCAATTTATCTGATATGTTTAGTGCTTAGCGATTTGCAAAGTACCTCCTCTTGTTCCTTATGCTGTATCATGTCCTCACACCTGTGTGAGGAAGACAAGTCTTATTTCTACTTGAGGACCAGAATATAGTCTAGAGAGCAAAGGACCTTGTTGGCACATGTAGGAGCCAGACCACAGATCCCATACCTAATTCTTCATTTCCCCTACCAGAGCTGCTTTGCCAAGTACAAGGCTAAGATGAAGTACTAAAAAATGCACAGAAAAAAACATAGCCAAGCTATAGCATCTACTGTGTTTGTTTTCAAGCCTTAAGAAGCATTACTAGAAGCTGCAGAGCAGAACTGTGGGCTTTTGGGGGGATGAGGTTAGGCAGCAGGGGAGGGGAAATTCTTCCTCAGGGCTTTTGGTGGTTCATGCATGCTTAGTCACTCAGTTGCATGAGACAGTTTGGACCCCATGAACTGTACACTGCTATGCTCTTCTGTCCATGGAATTTCCCAAGCAAGAATACTGGAGCAAGTTGTCATTTGCAGTGGGTTGCCATTCCCTCCTCCAGGGGATCTTCCTGACCCAGGGATCAAACCCACATCTCCTACATCTCCTGCATTGGCCAGCGGGTTCTTTAAAACTGAGCTACCTGGGAAGCCCCTTGGGCAGCTCATATCTATGTAAAACCTAAGCCATATCCACATCAAGCAGCAGACAGCACTCATAAGAGGCAGAGCTGGGGTTTTGCTTTGGTCATCAGCTATTAATAGAAGAAGATAACAGCCCCTGAATACCAAGTAGAAAGAGCTTTGAATAAACAGCTGACTCCTCAGAGATGCAGTTTATTTCTTTTTTTTAATTAAAAGAGTTTGTTATTGAAACATAGTTGACTTGCAATGTCATGTTAGTTTCAGGTGTATAGCAAAGAAATAGATAGATAGATACTTTTTCACGCTCTTTTCCCTTATAGGTCATTAAAAAATATTGAATATGTTTCCCTATGCTATACAGTGGGTCCTTTCTGGTTATCTGTTTTATGCATAGCAGTGTGTATATTGTTAATCCCAAACTACTAATTTATCCCCTTCATCTGCTTTGGTAACCACAAGTGACCATGTTTTGGGTATAAGTTCATTTATATCATTCATTTTTTTTTTTAGATTCCACATATAAGACCATTTCTGTTTTGGGTATAAGTTCATTTATATCATTCTTTTTTTTTTTTAGATTCCACATATAAGTGATATTATATAATATTTGTCTTCCTCTGTTTGACTTACTTCACTTAGCCCATCTCTAGGCCCATCCGTGTTGCTACAAGTGGCATTATTTTATTCTTCTTACTCTTTTTTCATAGCTTAGTGGTATTCCGTTGTATATATGTACCACATCTTCTTTATTCATTTCTCTGTCAATGGACATTTACATTGTTTCCATGTCTTGGCTATTGTAAATAGTGCTGCCATGAACATAGAGGTGCATATGTTTTTTTGAATTATAGTTTTCTCCACACATATACTTAGGAGTGGGGCTGCAGGATTCTATGGTAGTTCAATTTTTAGTTTTTAAGGAACCTCCATACTGCTCTCCATAGTGACTGTATCAATTTACAGTCCTACCAACAGCGTAGGAGGGTTCCTTTTTCCCTACACCCTCTCCAGCATTGATTGTTTGTAGATTTTCATTGATGGCCATTCTGATTGGTATGAGGTGATACCTGATGCAGTTTGTCTCTTGCAAGGAGGGACAGAGGCCCTTTGCCCCATCCTGGGACCTACAGTACTGAAATGTTGGATTTCATAATGTTTGTTTCGTCAGATGTGTGAATACAAGAAAGTTTTATTATGCTTTTGACAACAATTCTTAAAGCCTAAAAAGAGTCTAAAGGGACCACTTCAGTTAAGTACAAAAGGCCAAGTGATTCTAAATTAATGTTTGACCATGACTTTGTTCCAAATAAGACTGTTAAGTGCTTGTCAAGTACAAACATTTTGCTCCTGCTTTGACTTCATATCTTTACTTCTCAAGGCTCTGCTATGATGTTCTGAAGTTTCATCTCCCTTTCTTTCCCTTTTTTATAAGAAACTCTTGTCTTTACGTTTATTATTATATACCTTTATGCTTATTGTACAGAGAGAAGCTATGAAAATACAAAAGAAATCTCCTGTATGTATGAACATTGGCATCATCACTTGGGCATGGGACTAAAAAGCACCATGGTCCACCAGAGCTCTGGTAAAGTCATAAAAACTTGTCAGAGCTATCTCATGGGGGAGGCCATGAACCAGCCTGATCCCTATCCTGGCCCCTGAAGTAGGCAGGAGGCTACCAGCCTCCAGATACTTCTCCAGTGATGCTCTGTCTGTTAGAATGATCTGCTAGATCTCATTGTTGTAGTTGGATGAAGTCTAAACGCTGCCACAGTGGCTCATGGGATAAACCCACAACAAAGAAAATGCAGAGAACCATGTATGATTGTATTCATTCATTCATTCACTTAACAAGTGTGTATTGAGTAACTCCTTCCTGCAAGGTCCCGAGGTGCTGGGACAGGCAGAGAACCAGAGACACTTGGCTGTCCCTGTGCCAGGCTTTAAAGCTGAGATTAGCAGGGGTTATCAGGGACTGTGCTCAGTGCCAGGTGAGAGGAAGTGCAGGCGGGTGGGTTGACACGAGAGCACACAGGAGACACATCTAACCCAAGCTTGGGGCTTAGGAATTCATATTTTAGAACTGAAAAGCAACTTTAAAGTCATCCAGTTCAAGCTTTTCATTTTGCAGACTGGGCAGTGGCTGGGCTGGATGGTTGATCTCTCGTGCGGAACACTGCTGACCATCCTCTCCCCCTTGCCTGGCTGCTGCCCACAGAGTGGAAGCAAATAGAGCCACGCAGATCCCTCGAGGCGTGCATCTCCTTTTTATAATGTTTATATTTCCTGAGAAGAACAATGCAAACTCTCGGTGAACAAATATTTTGGAAGACTGTGTATTCAGTGGGTTGAAGAAGCCCTGTTTTCTTTCTTAGCTCTTGACTAATTATTTCAGAAGGAGGTATTTGTTACTTTCTACTTCGTGTGACTTTACAGGGAGGATAAGTTCATCCACACAATTGATCTGAGTTAATGGATATAAAAAGCTTAAAAAGCCCCCAGATAGATCATTTGCCATGATGTTGCGGGGAGGGGAGCTGCAGGGGCAAACACCATGGAAGCAGAGTAGCAAAATGTGGAAAACGCAGACCCAGGAGCTAACAGACCCGGGATCAGATTCCCAGGCCATCACTTGCAAATGTGGCTCCTCAGTCAAGTTCTGTCACCCATTCTAAACCTGTTTTTCTCATTTCTAAAAATAAAGTTGATAAAATGTCTACATTATTGAGTTGTTCAGAGGACTCAGTGAAGTAATACATGAAAAGCCCTTAGTATATGCCCTGCACTTAACAAACACTCTGAGAAATAGTCACTCTTACTATAAGTCAATAACCAGAATTTAACAAGTTGTCACACTATCAATATAGAAATGGTAAAACTGACACTGTGAATATATTTGCTTACACCTCATCTTATCTCGGAGTGTACAGTAAAAGTAGGTGAAGAAGAAAAGGGAAAAAACAGAGCCAGAAATATGGCTACTGGCTGACCTGCAAATCTACATCCTTGTTAAAGACTGGTCACGAGTTTTGCTCATAGCTTTCATAGCCAATGCCAGTGTTCAATGCAACCTCTGTTCTAGATGAACACCAGGTCCAGGAAGGAGGCTCACCAGTCTAGTGGTGCTGTCTGCCCTCTGCATATGTCACTGCCTCATTGGACTTAGACTAGGAATTCTCTTCCAAAAACAGTGCTAGACTTTGAACTGCTCTTTCCACACTCATTTATTCTACCTCCTTTAATCTTCCTCCTTTTATTTATTTACAAAGCTGTTAGCTAGAAATAGAGGAATATTTATCAAAGTGATAAATATTGAACCCCTGACCTTGACATCACGGGCCCCAAGCTGAGAATTTCAAAGCCCAATTCCAGCCCATGGTTATTACCAGGATTCCCCTAGAGGTCATATCTTATTCACAGAAACACCATGTAGGGATTACATATATTTTCCTAATATGAGTGAATTCTGCAGCTACTGAGCCCATTTGCAGGAAAGAAGAGGACATCACGTACAAAAAAGAAAAAAGCTATTCCATTTCCTTCATTGCCTAAACATGTTTTGGGGTCCTTGGGGTTCATAACAAGAAAAGGTAACCTTTGTAGCAGCAGATCCACTTATTCTGACAGTCCATCCCCAAAGATGGTTCATAACAGAAGGTGCTAGGATGACAACATCTGGCTCTTACACTAAAAATCATAAATCATCAAGTTCTTTCAGTTATTCCTCCTTTTGGTCCTTATCTCTGCATCTTCATCTCTATTTTAATAGTTAACTCTAGCCTAGGAAAACTATTCTTTAAAGATGCGTCTCTAACCTAAGAATTGATGAAATTCCTAGTTTCTCTCTCCCATGATTTCTGCACCTCATTACCCCAACTTGAAGCCAGGAGCAGTGATTTATTTTCATGTGTGACTACCTTGGCTATCTCCCACCTTCTTGTCCATTCAGAGCAGGGTTCATCAAAACTGCAGTTCTGAGTCCATTCTACAAAAACTGAATGCTGATAACAGGTAATGTTAGTGATCTGAATGCCTGAGATGAGATCCACATCAGAAAAGTAAATGCACATAGAGCAGACATACCAAGCTCTATCATTGGGGTGAATATCCACATTCAGCTTTAAAAATGGTCAGATGGAACAGTGTCAAATGCCCTGGTATTTGAGGTGATTTAAGTCCAAATATGTATCAACAGCTTACTAGCATACCTGGCCAGATCCTTTCATATCACTTTTTATTCTTTATTTTTTTTTCTCAAGAGTGAATAGAAGCAGTTTGCACAAGAAACACTTGATTGTGTACTCCTATTCAGGGCTTCACTTCTGTAAGCTGTTTCTCCATCTGTGAGATGGGACTGATGATGTTAATACCTGTTCCCCAAAGTTGGGGGTTCTTTGGTGGGGAGGAGAGAAGGGTGTTAAATGAACTATATTTGCCTGGTACACTGCCTGGCTCATAGCACACACTGACTGAATGTGTAGTGCCTTTCATACCTGGGAACAGAATACCACGTGAAGATAGATTGTCTATGATCCAGAGTGAGCCCGGCGTTAAAGCTGAAGCTTATGAAAAATGTGAGCCTTGACTGCAGTGTGTTATGGGCATAAGAAATGTTTGTCCTGAGGAAATGCAAGAGTATTATCTAAGCAAATCCAGAAACACTTGGCATTCCTGCCCAGTGCTTACAGCTCACTTATACTCACACTGTCCCCTTTGGAAGGAAACATTCGTATTCTCATTTTACAGATGAGGAGAGACTTAGAGGAGCTACATGAAATGCCAATCATGAGCAGAGCCTTGATGGAAATCCTAGTCTTTTGAGTTTGGGTCAGTGCTTTCAATACTGCTCTGAGGGCTAGACTCTAGGTCTCTCTATACATCCGCAACTAGAAAAACTCTAGCTTTAATATACTCAAATACGAGGGTGCTACCTAAAATTTCACAAGATAAAAAAAATCTCTGCTCTTGAAAAAAAAGGTTTACAACCCACTGTACTCTATTATTTTATCTTTACAGCATGGTACATCTAAACCTAAGTTACATTGTATTAGCCTGAGACAAGATGCAAATAATCCTTAATTTATGCCCTCATCATCCCAATCTCTATGGGCTGAAATCTTGGATGATATGCTATTCCCCTTTGTAAGTGGTCTTTGCTTCACCAACACTGTGTTTGCTGTATCATAGTCACCGCATGGTTGTCCAACACTCCTGTTTGGTCATATCACAAATGTAGTCTAGTTTATCTGCTGTAAGGAGTAGAATATGACCAGAGATTCATCATCTCAGAAGCACTAAGTGAATTTTTGCATAAATTTGTATCTGTGACTTTATAAAACAAGAGACAAAATGTCTCTGGAGACGTCGGTCTAGAAAAACGTCACTGAAGTGATTGGTGCTCTTGTGGGTATTCTGTAAATGTCAGAGAATCTATAAAGTTACTACAACAGATAACCCTGTTTACTGATGCTTAATAAATGATTCTCTAAAGCCCCAACCTAGGAGGTCTGGGGATGTTTGGGAAAAGATGGAACTTTTACGCACCTGCCCTCTCTGCCGTGGTGCCCCTTCAGCCAAGTGCTGTTTTCAAGGTGTGTTGTGGAATATGTGTTTATCCTTTCACAGGGAACTAAAGGAGAAGATTCAGCCAGAAATCTTGGAGCTGATCAAACAACAACGCCTGAACCGCCTCGTAGAAGGGACCTGCTTTAGGAAACTCAACTGCCGGCGGAGGCAAGGTATTGTTTCCAGACCTAGCAAGGGAGAACAGTGGCCTGCTCCCTAAATCACATGGGTATGGGTGTTGGTTTAAGGGTCGACTAAGCAGCATTGTACTCAGAACAAGAATAGCTGTAACTTATTCCAGGTAAGTTTTAATTTCCCATGTAGACCCAGGAGGAATCAAAATCTAAAATCAGCAGAAGACTCGTGGAACTGAAGCATCACCTGAACCATTTCATGCCTCATGTCTGCCACTGGTGGTTCCACAACAGCTAACATTACTGAGTGTTTAACCTGTGCCAGGCTCTCACTTGACCTATGTTAATGCATTTCATCTTCCCAGTAACCTTATGAAGTAGCTACTGTGATTACACGCAGTTTACAGATAGATAAACTAAGGCAGTGAAGGAAACTAAAGCAGTGGGGTACAAAGTAACTTGCCCAGTCGCAGAGGAGTAGGGATTTAAACTCTAGCATCTCTATGGCCCTAACTTTTAATGATTCACTATGCTATCAGGAGTGAATCCATCCACTGTTGGATTTGATCTTGGAATTTTCAGCATAGATGGCCCTTGTTTTCAAACCCCCACACTGATTCTCTTCCAAGTCAGAATATTTTATTCATAGCTATAAAAAACAGTGAACCAAGGTAGGATAGAATCAGTTTTCATAATCTTGGAAGAGAAATTTCTGAATTGTCTCTATAAATTTTAGTCCCAAAATGTTGAGTCAAAATGGGTGCCATTAAACTAGTTCCAGTAGATGGGAAGCATGTCCAGCTGTTTCTTATCCAGGAAGGTAAACTCCTTTGATTGCTTTCTTGACATATGGCTGATTGCGAAGTCAAAGTATTCATATCATACTGTCCTAGAAACAAATAGAAAATAAAATTGAAATATAAGACTCAGGGAGAGGTGAAGAGATTCAGGAACAGTCAGGAAAAAGAATAAGCATTAGCAACCGTACCAAGAACAAACATCAGTTATGGCCCCGGAGAAACCCTGGCAGATGTTTTTGAAACCTGATGGATGCCCTGCTTGATCACAGAGCCCATCCACTAATGACATACATCACTTCATACTTATACTGAACCCATCCTCCCGGCCATTTACTTTTAATGGCTTTGTGCTGAATGTTGGGTAAATTCAAAGTATTTCAAAGGCACCCATTAAAAATCATATTAAGAAAAGTCCAAAGGCAGAACTTCCTTGATGAATGAAAATGCAGGTCATTCCCAGGGGATAAGAAACCATGACAGTGAGCTTCAGGCTGGGCCTCAGGAGAGGACAATGGGCAGAATAAGAAAGAGCTGAGTTGCAGCTGGGACTGAGAAAGGCTCACAGTAGGCAGAAGGGACTTATCTCTCCCATTCAGCCATGGAAAGACTGACTCACTGCTCCTTCTTCGCTGCATCCCATGCATTTGGGCACCTTCATCAGCGTGGATACTGCTCCAGGAAAAGAGCATGGCACAGTGAGGAGAACAGGAGCCCTGGAGCCAAAGGACGTGAGCGCCATCCGGCCTCTTTCTCTCCAGCTCCGTGACCTTGGGCCGTTCCCCCGTGAAATGGGGATAACAAGGCCTGTCTCCTGAATTTACTGTGAGGAAGAAAAGTGGTCATGAATGCATCTCTTAGAAAGCAGCTAAAAAAGGGGCGGGGCGGGACAGGGAGGTAGAAGCTAGCTACTCTTATTCTGGAAGACCCTATAGGAAAGAACAAGGAGCTGGGGTGAGTAGGCTCGGTTCTAGGCTTCTCAACTCTGTGAGCAACCACTTGAGTGTCTTTTGGCAGGACGCATGACCTCTCAGGTCCACAGTTTCTCATGTGTTAAGTGGGAGTACAAGATCAGATGATCTGTTATTTCAGTTAGCCTGATTGCCTCGTTGCCTTTAACAAAATCAATAGTCAGAGTGTATTGCCCACATTAGGTAATTTATAAAGTTTTTATTTACTTGACATTGGGGAGAGAGCACAGAAGTGGGGGAGGGGAGAGGTAGCAAATAGACCCATGCCACCAAATGCCCCCATTCATAGCCAGCTATTGATACAATTCTTCTGAATATAATAATAATTCAAAGAAGCCAATTTAACCTTCCAGTCTACTCCACCACGAGACTTCCCTTTCTAGGCTGAAATGAGTAGATTCTATTAGAATAATTCTGTTTCTAGATGTCATAATTACAGTTTTTTGGCTAAAAAAGCATTATTTCCAAATGTTCAACTTTTTCAGTTTTCTAAAAATGAATTACCTAATGAGCAAAAAATGATTAGCATCTAGACTATAAATTTATTAGTTAAACTCCCTAGGGAGCATGACCATCTGTGTTTAGTATAAAATCATCCTTCCAAGTGCAGAAAGGAAGGCTTTTTGGGGTTTGGTAAATTGATTTAAAATCTGGTGACTAGCTTTGTGTGCTTAAAAATAGATTCAAAGCAGACTGTGCTGAAATTGGTTTCCTATCACCCCATCCAAACATTCCATTCAGATTTACACACATTAATGAGGACATGGTGTAAAATTATTTGAGTCCCTTTGAGAAAGGTGAGATATGAGATGGGGACACCCATGAAATATATTCCTGGTTAAAGAGCAAGCACAAAGGGCCCATGCATGACCACACTCCCTCTAAACTTGTCCGACAGGGAGTTAGACACAGATGAGTGGATTTACATTAACTTTCTAGGGGAAAGTAGGAAAGAGCCTCCTGTCCCACAGAACTGGAAAGGGGAGGAGCATATGTAGAGCCCTTAATCATGCCATGTTTGGCTAGAAGGTCCCTGAGTTTCTACTTGCCCATCATTCTGTCTGCCTCGTTTGCGACTCTGCTGCTTGGTTAGTCCAATAGAGATATATACAAATGTGGATTTCTGGGAATTTTGACCACAGAAGAACTGAGAGGCAGTAAATCATGGGAGATGCACCACGCTGTGTTCATTTCCTGCCTCCCTGCCTGCTAGCTGGTTAGCCTTGGGCAACCTAATAGATCTCTCTGTGCTTCTCTTTCCTCATCTGTTAAGGGAGGACAATCTCAGTTTCTATATCAAATTGTTTCAAGAGTTAAGTAAAATCATGCATGCATAGCACTTAGTCGAGTGCTCAGCACATTGTCAAATATTCATTAATGACATTTAGTATTTTAATTGATAGCTACTCAGAATATAGATTCTTATTTTTTTATTTTTTAAAGTTTTTTTTTTGGATGTGGACTATTTTTTAAAGTCTTTATTGAATTTGTTACAAAATTGTTTCTGTTTTATGTTTTGGTTTTTTGGCCACAAGGCATGTGGGATCTTAGCTCCTTGACCAGGGATTGAACCTGCACCCCCTGCATTGGAAGGCAAAGTCTTAACCACTGGACCACCAGGGAAGTCCCTAGAATATAGGTTTTTAAACACAGGCCATGGAGTGGCAGTTACTGTCACATATCTGCTTCACTCTGTCCCGCACTCACTGTGGAGTGTGAAAGGTTCTTGTCCACAGTCCTTTATGATAAATTTGCCTTGCATCTGTGTTCCCTGGGCTTCTCAAGAGAGTTAAGATGAAATCTCAGAAGCTGCCTACATTCCAGCCATTATTTGCTTCATGAGAATCTTACAGGCTGGGAACTGCCTCCTCTTTTCATTCCTTTTCAGAGATTAGGGTCTTTCAGAATCACTTGCATTGAGTAGTCTTGATTAGAGCCCAGGGCTACATGTTGGAGTGTCATTTTCAAGAAATCATAGCATGCAATTTCTACTTCTCTTTTCAGACAGTGCCCATTTTGTTGACCAGCATCCCTTCTCTAAGCATTAACTTGACAAATCCAATTTGAAACCCAGGGATGAACAAAATGTGCACCCAGAGGAGTTGGCATGCCCCTGCACTTCAGCCACAGTTGGTGTACCTGCCTTGCCCTTTCATTTCTCTCCAAAGACCTACAGCCAAGTGGTATTTTCAGCCCATTTGGGGCACCAGTTGTTTCTTCCTCTTGGACTTTTCTTTTAATATTTCATTAAACCTTATCATAACTCATTGTTACAAAAAAGGCAAATATATATAAAATGTACATTGTCAAAAGAATAAAAGCCAGATTATTTTCAGGGAAAAAGGCACTTTCCAATAGATCAGAATAACAGATAATCATCCAGTAGTGTGGGTGAGAAGGGTTACTGTTGAAAGATACCAAGGTACTGATATTTGAGAGCTGGCTCTGTGAAAGATGAATGACAGGTACTCTATATATGTTTTACTCACACAATTTTTAGTATTATTTGACAAAGGAACTGTAGGAGTCCATAAGGATTTTTTATAATTTGGCCAAAACTCCATAGCTGATGTGTCAAGGCCAGGTGTATAACTAAGGTCTGTGGACTCCAAAGCATCAGTTAAGCTAAACCATCTTGAAAATGTCTTCAGGGCTCTGGAGTTATCTTTTGCTGTGAAACAAGAGTCTCCGGGGAGGCAGAATTCTGAATCAAAACAGGAGTCTCTATTCTGAAAAATGCTCAGTGTAATGAGGACGATTGTTGTCTTCCTTCACTGAACTCAAGAATATTTCCTTTTAAAAACATCGCTAGGATCGCTTATGTTTTGTAATGTGGGAAGGTTTGAAGCGGACCTTCCCCTGAGCACACTGAAGACTTTGCACATTTTAGGTTAACCTAGGAAAGATTCAAAATCTTAGTGGAAGTGCCATAAGAATTCGCTTTAGTAAAGGTCACCTGTCTCCCAAACACAGGATTTTTAGGGCCCCCTGGGCCAGCAGCCAGCTGCCAGCTGTAGGCTTTGCACACAATACAAGGATGTCCCTGAGTCCATAATAGAGTCGATCAGGACTCAGTTCTTGCTGTGGCCGGTGCCTCACTTTAGAAACCTCATCTCCTGCTCAACAGTGGTAGCTATTATTCAGCTTGCCCGTCTGCCCTGAAGACCTGCTGGCCAGCTCTACACCTATCTGCGGCTTGGATACGACAGTCAGTGAACTGTGCTGTTCCGTATGGCCACCTATAGCTATTTGAGTTAATTAAAATTAAATAAAATTCAAATTTTCTTTTCTTACTATTGAATAAAGCAAGTACAGACTATTTGCAGTGGTGCAGAAACTTCTATCAAATATTACTGCAAGAATTACAGTTGTCAGGGGTGATTAGCTCCATAATGATCTATGTGACATTGGGAATAACTTTAATCAGCCCTGGAGACCTTCTTACCAGGCTGTGAGCTTGGAAACCAGCTTTTCTCTCTGATCCTTCAAACACACACACACACACACACACACATACACACAGGAAAAAAAGTGAAGCACAAAATTATCTCCATATTTTCAGCTTTTTAGTTTGGGGAATTAAAAATGGCTATTAATGTAATAACATTTTGTAATTGACTGAAAGACCTCCATATTAACTCCTGCTTTCTCTTTAAAGGCTAGTAAACAATCTTTGCTAATGTTTTCACTGCTTCTTGCTAATTGCTTTTAGTGACACAATCCACTCATTCATTGCCCAAAGGGATTGGGGAACTAGTAACATCATGCTGGGTTTTGAAAAGAAAATACATGTTTTGCTTACCATAAAAGAAACTGCAAACCAAGCTGCCACCAGTGGCTAACACTGAAACTGTCTCACCCAACACGTCAGTGTGCTGTGCTGGCTGGAGCCGGCCTCTCCGCTTCCTTTACAGCTGCTCCACCTTCAAGGCAGACACACAAGTTATGATGCCTCTAAACCTTCCCAGAGCTAATGACTCCAGCCTTTATCCTGAGGGAGAGACTGGCTCAGTATCCACCCATTTGTCAATGAATCAAAACAACCTTCCCAAGCCCTTCAGCCCTTTTTCCAATATTCTGTCATCCATCCAAGACTTCTTATTTGATGGGAGGAGCAGAACACATCACTCACATTGATGATGCACAGATCGTTTGCTCTCTACCATTTTAGTGGTAGACAAAAAGGAACTTCTGTGGGATAAAAGAAGAGGTAGGCAGAGGTAGAAGGAAAACCAAAAGACAGTGGTGTCTTAAAAGTCCAGAGATTCCAGGGCAGAAGAAGAGGGTGGGGCAAATTGGCAAAAATTTTTGACATTTGCACTACCATGTGTAATACAGATAGCTAAAGGGAACTGCTGTGTAACACAGGCAACTCAACTCAGTGCTCCGTGATAACCTAGAGGAGTGGGGTGGAGGGGGGTGGCAGGGAGCTGTGGGGGTGGGAGGGAGATTCAACAGGGAGGGGATATATATACACATATAGTTGATTCACTTGATTGTACAGCAAAGACTAAAGCAACATTGTAAAGAAATTATACTCCAATAATAATAAATAAATATATAAATAAATACATACACATCAGGGATTTTGGGTGCCCATGCATGCTCAGTTAAGTCCAGCTCTTTTGCAACTGCATGGACTATAGCCTGCCAGGATCCTCTGTCCATGGAATTTTCCAGGCAAGAATACTGGAGTGGGTTGCCATTTTCTTCTCCAAGAATCTTCCCAACCCAGGGATCAAACCCACGTCTCCTATGTTGGCAGGCAGATTCTTTACCACTGAGCCACCTGGGAAGCCCAGGGATTTCAGATCTGAAAACAAACAAAAAAAAAAGAAGTCAAGAGAATTTAGTCCCCTGGAAGGAGGAAAATCTGTCAGCTCTACACTGTAGTGTTATGGTAGATTTCCAGGTTTCCAGGTAGCCTTTTGTGTTTCTTTAAACAAACAGTGACTACAACATTGCAAAGGAGACGATTGTCTTCAACCATCATGATAAGTAGCCACTGATTTCAGTAGTCTCTGAATGTAGAATTATGTTGCACAAGAGATCTTTCCTATTCCTATTTTTCCCTGTAGTACAGGCAGAGTTGCTGAGTCGCTGTCCGTATTTCCCAGACCTGAGACACAAGTGTTGCCACCGTCTTTCTTTAAGTTGCCACTAAGAACTGAGGGAGCTCTTTCTCCTTGAGCTCTTTGGCTTTGCCCCTCATGTCTGCCTGTCATCCTCATGACTTTTGCTACATCCAATAAAGTCCTGTGAGCACTGTAGGCACTCTGCAAATAGTCATGGAGAAACAGACTTAACCTAGTAAATAGACAAGCTATGAAAGTATATGCAGCAAATTTTTGAAGTGTTGCAAATGAATGTAAATTGTGCATTTAGCTCCACAATATATGTTTGTACCACTTAAATTTCTTAACTCTCCCCCAAATCTGTTGAGGATGACAGTCTTCTTTGATTATGCCATATTGACTCCTGGGCTTCATGTTAGCACTGCTAGTCTCGAGTTTACCTCAGCTTGAGAAGTGAGGAATTTCTAGAAAGAACAGGCTAAGACTTACTCAAAATAAGACCAGCATGTCCAAGTGCTACTGCTCACCAACTTCCCTCCCAGCTTTCTGTTACCCTTTTACAGTTGCTCACTTAGCCCAAGTCCCATCTCAGAGGTAGCAGGGGAAGGAAAGCACTATAGCAAGTTTTTCCAGAAAGTTTTTCCTGCTGTGGTCATCACAGTTTATTTAGACAAAGTGGAAGGTCCTTTGGGTTGAAGAGATCTCTATAGTCCATCATGCCAGGCCCCCAAGAGCACTGTTGGTGCTCATGGCTGAAGCTTAGCCCACTCCTATCAAATTGCAATTTTCCTATTGTGAATAACAAGTCAAATTCTCAAATATGTTCTCCTCATGGAAAGCTGCCTAATTGAAGTGGTTATGAATTATTCAGGGAATGATTTTATTTTCTCCCTTTGAAATGCCCTCCCTGTGTTGAGTGTATATATATATAACAGAATTTTGAAAATTTAGCAATTCCAGATGTTTTCCTAGCCTTCAAATAACTTTTTCTTTCCTCTCAAATTTTTCCACTGTTTAGATTTTTTAAATATATGGATTGCTGTATACAGACTACATTCAGGAATTCTCAAACCCTATCTATACTTGAGAAAGGAATCACGGAGGCATTTGGCTTTTGTGGATCAAGTTGGGTGTTTCCTTTGTTCACTGTGTGACTTTTGCCTCCATTTTTAAAACTTGGTTTTCTACTAAAAGAGTTGTAGTTAAGGCATAATTTTATAGTGAAAGCAATTTTAGATAAAAGAACATTTTTGTTAAATGTTATAGAGAGCTTTCTGGTCAGATTGGCTTCAGAACAATTTGTATTGGTAGACACAGTAATGGGAGGATTTGACCCAGGCCACTATGTTTGCCAACTATGTAATTGCACAAAGGGTTTACAGGTCATGGATGTTTTGTGACTTACACATCTTGACTGAGTCCTCTTGAGTCTTCATTTATAAATTCAGCCAATACCAACTGTGCAACTTCTACATGGCAGGCATTGTGCCAAGAGATTGATGCAGTGCAGTCACGAAGGCCATGGCTGTCATCGGAGAGCCTTGGCTTTCCACACTGTTGGGACTGTTAAGTGTCCTGGAGTCTTCTTCTTCTGTTAATAACTGTTCACCATGTCCCCACTAGGCAAGTTGCTTGCCTAAGCTCTGTGGCAGATAATGGGGAATACTAAGGGATTTAACATGAGGACACCAATCATCAAAGGAGACGCTGGAGCAGCTAAGAGGGTGGGAAGAGTCCCTTTGGCTGCAGCAATCACAGACGGCTTCCCGGAGAAGGCAGCATCTACCCCAGCCCTGAGAGCTACATAAAGATCGCTATCACAATTTAAGTTTCTTATCTAGAAAAAGCACTCTTTACCTCCTTCTCACTACCTCACAAGCTCATTCAAAAATTGTTATTACATTTTGGGGGAGCAGATGAAGTTTAGCTGAGGGAGTTATTTATAAGGATGATCCTAAGGTATTGATCAAGCCTATTTAAGGGAACTAAACTCTAGGAATTAGAGAGGAGATGAATGTGACATCCTCATTCTTGGATACATTTCTGACTTAGGGTGGTTCCTCATGAATCCCACCCCTTGTGTATGGATTACTAGCCTCCTAATAATATATTCATGATTAGTTTGTGGGTACAGGCCTCAGGGGTGAAGACTTTACTATGCCAGCTGAGATATGGCACAACCATCTCAACAGTCTTAGACTCTCACAGAGGGAAGTGGAAGCAGAAAAGTTCTGAGAAAGCTCTTTTCTCTTCATCTCTCCCCTACTTTGTCAGCCCCAACTGAATAGTTAACCATGCCCTCATCATTATAGATGTTGATGAAATACTCCCCTGGAAGTCACCACCTCAGACTTGTTGCCGTTGTTCCGAAGGATCTGGTAACTTTCCCAGTGGCACCAAATGTCTACCTGGAAGGACAGGAGCTAACTGCGTACAAAAATTGAGAAGGGGCTGACTGCCAGGGCCCTTGGAATTCATTCCTTTCTGAAGACGTAAAATCAAAGAAACTGTGTATTCTCTCATGAAAGGCTCTGAGGAAATAAGGATGTCCATATTCTTTGAAAATCAGAATCACTTACCTGGTAAATCAGCGTTTTCTTCTTTTTTTTTTTCCTTCCCTCAGACAAGTTTTGGTATTGTCGGCTCTCACCAAACCACAAGGTCCTGCATTATGGAGATCTGGAAGAAAGTCCCCAGGGAGAAGTGCCCCATGATTCCTTGCAGGACAAACGTAAGTGTCTCTTCTGTGTAGGAGGCCTGAGTGTTGGTTGGTTGTTTGTTTCCTGGTCACTGAATATCATACAGATAAGACTATCAAGCTAAGTAAACCCACTGGACATGGCCCACTTTGCTGTGAGTCCTGGCCTGAGTCGTCTCATCAAGCACAAGACCTTGATGGATTGCTGGTTTGGGAAAGGAATACTTACCCATCTGTCCTGAAAGATACAAACCTAGAGTTCCAACATCCACTTTTATATTACTTGTCCATGTACTATTCTAAGAAACAAAACCAGCATAAACCTGGTTGTCAGCTGTCTTTTTCTGATAATCCAAAATAATCTCACCTGAATTGGGTGTTTGATACCCTACCACTTTTATTCATTATAGTTGATTGTATGGTGGCTCAGTGGTAAAGAACTCGCCTGCCAATGCAGGAGACAAGGGTTCGATCCCTTGGTCAGGAAGATCCCCTGGAGAAGGGAATGGCTACCCACTCCACTATTCTTGCCTGGGAAATGCCATGGACAGAGGAGCCAGGCGGGCTACAGTCCATGGGGTCACAAAAGAATCAGACATGACTTAACAACTAAACAACAACAACAAAGTATACAAATTAAACAAAGTATTATAGAAACATTAAAATACACAAAGGTAGGGACTTCCCTGGCAACCCAGTGGTTAACGCTCCATGCTTCCAATGCAGGGGATGTATATTTGATCCCTGGCCAGGGAACTAAGATCCCATGTACTGCATGGCCAAAAAAAATTTTTTTTAATACACAAAGGTAATGAATTAATGTGGAAGAGAAATGAGATAAAGTTAGACATATTGTCAAAGGATATCTCAGGTAGAGAAATCAAACAGGAAAAAATAAAGACACCTTAAAATAACTTTTAAAAGTCACCTTGACCCTGCCATGAATCGTATAATTCACAGATAAAATTCTTACCCCTAGATCCTGGCACCTCCCTCTTATTGCCCCAGGGCCCATGGAAGTCCAGTCTGTACTGTCTTCCTTGCAGCTCTTAGCCATCACAGGGGAAAATAAACCATGAGTGGCAAATTTCTGACACACTCAGACTCTAGGCTGACATATCAGACAGACAACCTGGAATAGTATCTCTTCCTCCAGCTTAAAAATGGGACAGTCTGGTCTTTGTAGTGTCATTTAGTTCAGAAAGCAATCTTATTTCCTTTCATGGTACCACTGCCTCCTCTGTCCATGTTATTAGCACTGTTAATAGGAAAAGAAAGAAATCTGAAACCCAGTACTGCAGAGTCTGGGACAGTGTCTACACATTCATTCCTGTTGTGGTGTCATTCCAGGCCTCTGTTTTTGTGATAAGGACCCTCCCTTTAAGTCTCAGAAAATCTCCATCCCACGACAGACAAGCTAGAACAGTGGTTCTCAGAGTGTGGTCCATGGACCATCCACAGAAGCAGCATCACTTGGGAACTTACAGAAATGCAGATTCCCAGATCCTCCCTCCCAGACTTGATGAATCAGAAACTCTGGGAATGGAGCAGCCATCTCTGGGTTCATGGAGCCTCCACATGATTCTGATGCACATTTAAAGTGAGAACTGCAGGGCTAGATATTGTCTGATATGCTTCCCAGTGAGTCCCTAAATCTGGCTCTCACCAATACGTAAAAATTTTAAAAGAATAAAAAACTGAGTGGATAGTGGGTTGCCAACTTCAGGTTTTGGCAGAGAAAAAAAGAAAAGCTATTATAAAAGAAAATCTAACTAAAATTTAATATCACACTCCTTTCATTTTAAAAAGGACTCAATCACAAAGAAAGAAAAGACCAGAAAGGCCTAACCTTGGAATAAAGGACAGTCCCTTGCACTAAATTAGCTGTATGAAAAACTCATGTCATCTCTAAAAATGAGTGTCTTCATTTTCCTGTCTTTGCTATTAACTGGTGAAAAACTCACTGAGAATCCTCCCTCATGAGCTCAAAAGAACTGTGCAGAGGCCAGCCACTTGGAATCAGTGCTCTAAGGTGGTAAAATGAAGAGTTTGAGGTTACTGTTGGCCATAGCAACCAGAAGCTCTCTACAAACTCTCCCACTGCCTCTCTCTTAAATTGGCCAGGAAATAGAGAAAGTGGTCTGGGGTAGAAAAAAGAAAACACATCTGGTTTCATTCTTGACCCACATGGCCCAGTGAGTCGGCTCTCCCACGCACTGAATGTATCTTTATCCCCATATTTTTTAGGGATCTAATCCATTTCTTAACCCATAGACTGGCATAGATTGCAGTTTAAATGCAGCACTCTCATTCTAGCTGGCTCGGCTGCTTAGGGAGTCAGTAGCTCTCCCCCTAGAGAAGGTCAGGGCATGGACAGAACCTAAGCCTTGTGTAGGGGCTGTCTCTAGACTTGCCCACAAGCTGATGACCCCAAGCTCTACCAAGGCCTGCATCCCCAAGGACTGGAAACTGGAGTGCCGATGCCAGGGAGAGCCAGCTTGCCAGGATGGTTGCAGAAGAGCCAGGACAGAGCTGCAAATCTCTGGAAAGCTTTTGGTCATGGCCATGATGCTCGTTCTGAGAAAGCATTACAACAGTCCCTTCTGATTGTGGCTCTGAAACTCTTGTCCGCCCCTTTCCTCTGTGGCCTTAGAAATCTAGGAATTCAGAGTTCCAGAAGAGGTGTTCTGTAAACAGTTTACCCATTGTAAGATAAACCAAGAATGCGTACCTGTGCAGGTGTGCATGTGTAGATGTGTGTGTATCGAAGAGATTATATCTGTGTGCCAGGTTGGCCAGGGAGGAGGAATATTCATGTAACGAAGTCAGATGAAGCTGTTTTGTGCAGGAAATAAGAGGGACCCAGCCCAGGAAACCAAAGTTTGCTGCTTCAGGCCTGCCACCTCGTTTGCATATAATTCCAATTCTGCATTCTGCCTGGAGCAAAATAATCCATCCTCTTGGAGCCCTTCAAAGTCAAAAACCTCATTCCACTAGAAAAATGAGCTGTTCCTTTAATTAATTTCAAGTGCCATTGCTCTTGCCATGTACAATTGCCCTCTCTTGAGACCAACGGGGAAATTGTCTTCCACCCCTTAAGTTAACCAGTGCTGAATATTGAGATATTGATGAGTCAAATAGTGTAACTGAACCCTCTTAATCCAGGAGTGTGAGTGGAGATTGAGGGCTACTCCTTAGCTGTCTTCGTGCCTAAAAGTTTAGCAAATCTCTTCTCTCGAATTCCTTTTGTTTGGCAGGAAACATGGCCCTTGAAAAGTCCACATCTCCTTACCTCCCTTTGCCCCACATTCCTCCCACCAGGTATGCAGACTCTCATCACCCCACTAAAACCAGACTCCACTGCTTCCCAGCAGTGCCCCCACCTCTCAGAACTGCCCTTTGAGGGAATCTAGGCCAGCGCTCTTCACTCCTGCATCAAAGAGGCCGGGAGGAGAGGGCTCCAAGGCTCAGTCCCTCACACAAGACCATTAAGCCTCTTACCACAGAGGAGAGGAGAGGCGGCCAGAGCAAAGCAGAGTGGCGCGATTTGGGTCATTGAAGCATGCGAAGTAATTCAGGTCCCTCAATCTACAAAGAGAATTAACTCTGATTATTGATAATAATTGCAAATAATATGTTTGGAGTGCCTACTCTATACCAGGCACTGTGCTAAGAGCTCTACATATTAACAAATTATCCTCCCCCTGACTTGAAGCAGTAGATACCATTGCCCTTCTTTTACAGATTAGGAAACAGAGGTACACAAAAATTAAGTAACCCGTTGAAGGCCGCGTGTCTAGTAAATAACAGAGCAAAGACCTGAATGCAGCTATCCAGCCCCCGGTCCAGATTTTTACCCACAAGGAAGCTTATGCTCCAAGAACTTAAGCCCAAAGTGGTATAGCCAGTAGGTGCATCTAGAATTCAAATCCAGGCTCTGTGATTCTTCCAGCCACTCCAGACTGCCCAGTTAGAGGCCAGATCCTCTACTGAACTGTCCTGGGATCAGCCTGCCCCTCCTCTGTATCTCTGCCCAAAGGAGTTTCCACAGTGGAGCTATGTATATGGCAAGTGATCGTGGCTTACTAGCTACTTCCTAGAGTAATTTCTGCCTCTACTTACTGGCTTCCTGGGGTGATTTCTGCCTCAACTTTCTGGTTCCCAAGAGTGAAAGCTAGAACAATTTTTATCATGATGGCCACATTTACTTTTTCAGTGGCATTTCTGTTTTAAATCACAATTAAAGTTTCTCCCACAGATATTAGCCATCAAAGAGCTTCCTGAACACATCTGAAGTGATCACCACTTCCAGGGCTGTGTCTGACATGTGTTTAGCATGATCTGGGGAGCTGACACCTTCCAAACAAAGGAGAAAATCATAGCCTAGCCAGAGACCATGGAATAGAAGAAAAAGCAGCTGTCTCAACTCTGTCCCTCACTAGCTATGTGACATATTTCTTCTCTTTAGGCCTCAGTCTTCCCATCTATAAAATGGAAATGTTGGATTAGATTGTCTCAATCCAGCTCAAACTGAAAATAGCATTGAAAGAAATGAGGGCAGGCCCCAAGGAGTTAGAGTGGGGGCTAGGGCCCCAGTGGTGACTTTTCTGGTTCTCATATCTCTGAATCCCACTTTGGTATGCTGCTCCCACATAAAAAAGACCTGATGGAAACCCTAGCCCTACTTCGAAGTAATCAAGAGCCCTCTGTCACCTCCTTAGAGTATAGATTCCAAATTTGTGAGTCTAACTCTGCTGGTGGGTTTAGAGAAGATGACATTTTAGCCCTTCCAATACCTAATTTTCCAGTGCATCCAACAACAAACTATGCAAAGAACAATCTTTAAAAGCCATGCTGTATTTTTCGAATTTTGTGTTTTCCTTTTAGGCGCAATCCTGTGAGAAATATAGCAGCTTTTCTCCTTGACAGGGGACAATGCATATGAAATGCATAAAATATGTATTGCCACCAGCATGGTGCAGAAAAGGCTGCCTTTTCTCCCCTGCTGCCTTCTTATTAGAGATTCTGAAGACTGCTCCCACAACAGACCTTAGTGTTACCCTTGTCCTGTTCCCCATGATGGGTTTTCAAAGCCAAGGGGTAACTTACTATTTACCGATCGTAGACACGCTCTCTCGTTCACTGAGCACGTTACATATTTGAACAGCAGAAGACTTCCTAGGAGGTGTTTGCTACTCAAACTCCATCTGAAGCTTGAGAAGGGTTTTGGAGTTTGTACATTAATTATATCACAATTTCACGTCAGTGGTACATTTTCCACTGGAAAGTAAACACTAAGTAAACCCAACTCCCCAAAGTGCCCAAATATCTCTTCCCAGAGTAGCAAGTAGGTAGCCAGGTTGGCCACTGAGAACAGGGTTGATTGTTGGTTATGAAAATGGATTTGAGAAGAGCTGAAGTCAGTGGCTGTGATCAAAGAAAAGTTCAGGAATCACAGGGACTGTCTACAAGAAGATGCCGATCCTGAGCAGCCAGGTAGGGGAGGAAGGGGGTCCAAGGTCAAGGGTCATGCCACTCAGAAGAGGCTCCATTGCTACATTAAGCTTCAGGAATAAATAACCCCCCAAACCTCACTGGCTCACAGCAGGAGTTTATTTCTCGCTCCTCAATTATATAACTGACATGTGCTTTCAAAGGACTGCTCTGCATGATCACAGGGACACAGGCTGATGGCTGTTCTGACATCCCAGAGCTGCACCATCTAGAGGGACCACGTGGCCTGATCAGTCCCTGCGGCTGGGGAAGAGAGGCTGATGCAAGTGGGTTTCTCACTGCCTCAAGCCAGGAAAAGAGCCAGGCCATCTCCTCTCATGTTTGACTACCAGAGCTAATCATTATTCGGCCCCACCTAAATGCAAAAGTTGCTGAGAAGCATGGTCTTCCATGTGCCCAGAACTGTTACTAGTGAGAACAAGTCCTATCTCCCAAGGAATCTAGAACCAGGAGTCCAAGCTAGAGGAGCAGATGTGGTGGGATGGAGAGCAGGGCGGTGCCATCAGAGAATCCTGGAAGATTTCATCACAGCACTACTCTTCTCTAGGGTTTGAGAGAGCTCTGGAGGTATCAAGGATTTGGACAGAGTTCTTAGCAACTTTAGGGTACCCGGAAAATGTTAGCTTTTAAAGAGGCTTCCTGTTATATCATTTTGATATTCTATATATTTTGTAGTTTTATCTTCATCTAAATGTCACCCCCAGAACCCAATGCCCCAATAAAAGAAGGTGAACTTTAATTGTGAAATCTCTCATTATCTTCGTCATTGGAGGAGTCAAGGAATTGATGAGTCAAAGCTTATCCTAACTGAGACCCTAGAGTCCCTTGAGGGACTGAAAGATTACGAGTTGGAAAGGGACAGATAACTCTGCAGTTTTTAAAATTAAGTTTCCAAACCATCCTGCAGCCTTCTCTCTATCAGATGATCTTAACAAAAGCATTAAGGGCAAAAACCTTTCCATATCTTTTATCTTCCCCCAAGTCCTGAATAAGACAATAGATAACATCATTTTATCTAACTGCATTATTCTCAGGATTTCCAAGATAAGTGCCAGCTACCATTTCCCTAACAGAAAGGAATGTTCCCATTATTTAATTGAGTTTAGTTTTGTTGTCCATAAACTAGGAATAACAAAACCTGCCTCACAGAATGGTTATGAGAATTAATGAGATGGCAAGAGGGAGAATTTGGAGAGTGAGAGTTAAGAATGGTTTATGTTCAGATAGATTTTTGTGTGATAGGGTTACTTCCCCTTATTATCCAAAACTCAGAAACTAAAGTGATGTCACTACTATAGTAAGAGATATCAATCTATATGAAGCACTTGGCATTTGCTCCTGGCACATAGATGTCTTCCATAAAATCATTATCAGTACCACTATTACTTATTATTATTATTACTCCTTCTAATGCCATCACTTTTAACACAACTATGATGGGTTTTTTTTTTTTCCATTTATTTTTATTAGTTGGAGGCTAATTACTTTACAACATTGCAGTGGTTTTTGTCATACATTGAAATGAATTAGCCATGGGTTTACATGTATTCCCCATCCCGGTCCCCCCTCCCACCTCCCTCTCCACCCGATCCCTCTGGGTCTTCCCAGTGCACCAGGCCCGAGCACTTGTCTCATGCACCCAACCTGGGCTGGTGATCTGTTTCACCCTAGATAATATACGTGTTTCGATGCTGTTCTCTCGAAACATCCCACCCTCGCCCTCTCCCACAGAGTCCACAAGTCTGTTCTATACATATGATGGGTTTTTTATTGTTGTGTGCCATCTTTTTTTTAGGTATTTCTTTTCTTGAAACAAACTCTACTTATGAACATAGATTTTTTCCCCCCAGGAATGCTTTCTACCAGAATATTAAGAGTATATTTTAGTTCCTTGTTCTGGAGCCTGCCTGGCTTCTCCCTCTTTTCATCTCTTTTCTCTTCCTGCTATAGTGTCTGTACCAACAGACTCGGTGATGCTTAGTCTTGCTATTTTATGGACACTTACGCTGTCACATGATGTAGTTACTTTCATTCTCTCTTATGAATTTCAGTGCCGGTGGCAGATATCAAAGCTGTGGTGACGGGAAAGGACTGCCCTCATATGAAAGAGAAAGGTGCCCTTAAACAAAATAAGGTATGATTTCCAAATTATGCTAAGTAGTTCTGTCTGCACAATGCAGTTAGTAACTACAGTGGGCCCTTCTTTGGTAGCTACGCCTGTGTGGTTGGGGTCTGTGTGTGTGTGTGTGTGTGTGTGTGTGCAGATGTGTCACACAGTTACACATCTCTTAAACTCGGTTCCTTTTCCTTCACTGATTCCTTTTCCATCCCTCAGTCTTACTCTTTCTCTCACTGATCACTTGCTGAAGCCCCACTATGTCTTGTATTCTCCCACTTCCTGTCCATGTACAGACCTGGGAATTGCCCTCACTGATGTTACCAGTCTTCTCTCAAGTCTTTCCACTCATCTCCATCCTCTGGGCCCCTCTTACCCTCCTACTTATGTTCACATTCTCCCTTCTGCATTTCCTCTCCAGTCTCTTCCATTTTCTTCTTCTTAGTTACCCCTATGGGGTCTCAGAGAAGTCTGGGAAATGGAAGAGAGACCAGATGACTCCCAAAAATCTTAGAAAAATTTTCAAGGCCTAATATTCTTCAGCATCATGGGAAATATTGTGAAACAGTTCCAATTCAGCTTAAGGGAGAAAATTTTCCCAAAGGTGTATATTGCTTGAACACTCTTAACATTGCGGTATTTTTCACCCTTCCCACCGTGTTGTTCACCATTACAGCCTACACTCCATAACAGAAGGTGTGGGGGACAGCATTATCTGAAAAGGTAGAGGAATTTCCTTTGTCCCCAATTTGGAGGCATTTGCCCTTGGAGGGGGCCATCAGGGAGCAATTTTTGTTATCTTTTGGCATTTTGTGATCCATAGTATCCACATATGAACAAGATTAATCAGATTGATCTGGAGGCTTCAGACACCTTGGTACCAAAAATATCACATTGATCAGATAGGTTGCTTCTTTATTGCCCTGTGCCAGTATCTAAGAAGAGTATAAACATTATACATATCCTATTTATCAATCAGGCTTGACATGAACAATGCCTGCCCTGTAATTTCAATCATTGTAAGATGAAGGTGAATCTAGGTCTGCATAAGATGACCCTATCCATGGTTAAGGAAAATCAAAAGTACTACAAAAGTACTATTTAGGAAGAAAATAAAGGAGAGGATACAGCCAAAGAGACTGATAACTAGAGTTTCGCTTCTTAAGTTACATTAAGTATAAGTCACCTCTAGTCCATATGAATTCCTTCCGTGTCAAGCCTGTCAGGGTACCGTCATATGAAGCACTGGGCCACATAAGGGCATGCCTTAGGGTCTATAGGTTATTCGTTACACAGCATTTACTTCCTCCCCACGATGTGGGGAAACAGGGATCCAACAGCTCATCAGATTCCAGAAGAGCATCCTTAACCAAAGCAGCAAGTCCCCAGCCTGCATGATTTGCCTTCCTTCAAGACCACCTGCCACTCCAGCACTCTTGCCTGGAAAATCCCATGGACGGAGGAGCCTGGTGGGCTGCAGTCCATGGGCTCGCAAAGAGTCGGTCACGACTGAGCGACTTCACTTTCACTTTTCACTTTCCTGCACTGGAGAAGGAAATGGCAACCCACTCCAGTGTTCTTGCCTGGAGAATCCCAGGGACAGCGGAGTCTGGTGGGCTGCAGTCTATGGGGTTGCACAGAGTCAAACACGACTGAAGCGACTTAGCAGCAGCAGCAGCAGCAAGACCACCTGATGTCAGAGTATAGCCTTGGGAAGTACCAGCTCTGCTCAGCTCCACCTGAGGTCCCTGTGGTTATATAACACTTGGAACTGACCAGGAGACAATTTGGGGAGCTTGGCAGCAATAAGAGTGTGTAATCTAAAGAAGGCTAGGGGTGGTGGTGTTGGCAGCAAAGCAACTTGCCAGGACTCAAGTGCTCTAAGTAGGCACAGAGAATTATTTAAAACAGTTATGAAGGAACTTCTCATTCAACTCAAACACGTAAAGAGCCTAGGAGTTGTCACTCCTATTCCACAGTAAGAAGAAACTGCATAAAGTAAAAATCTACAATTTTCTTGAAACTACCAAGAGAATTGGTGGTGCAGGGGAAGACCACCACCATGGAATCTGGATACATTGAGTCACATACATCCAGAGTTCACAACCAGATCTACTCAGGAGCAAAATCAGGAGAATTCATTACCAGCAGACCTACTCTACAAGAAATTCTTCAGCCAGAAAGGAAATTCTATAGGATAGGAACTTGAATCTACATAAAGAATGGAAGACTATTAGGGAAGGAATATGTGAAGGTAAAAGAAAAGTATTTTTTTTCTTATTAATTAATCTAAAAGGTAACTTTTTGCTTAAAATAATAATTTTTAAATGTGTTATATCTATGGCATATGGATAAGTGAAATGAATGACAGAAAAGTCAAAATGTACAGGAAGGAGAAGTAAGGATACTCAAAACAGGATAAGGTTAAAAAAAAAAAAGGAGAAAATAAAAAATAAAGAACAAATGCAACAAATGAAAAGAGTTACAAGCTTGGCAGGCATAATATAACTTTGTCAATAGTCATTTTAAATGTCGATGATCTAAATACACCAATTAAAAGACAGGGATTATTTGAATAGATAAGAAGCAAGACTAAATATATATTTTCCTATGAGAAACCCACTTAAATATAAAAACTAAGATAGGTGAAAGTAACGGGATGAACAAAGATCAAAATGCATGAGGCAAACTGAGAGAACTGAAAGAAGAAATTCACAAATCCATGATTATCCTGGAGACTTCAGTAACCCTCTGTCAGGGGTTACTTGATAGATCAAGTGAGCAGAAAATCAATAAGGATATTGATGACCTGAACAGCACCATCGGTCAACTTGATCCAATTAACATTAATAGAAAATCTACTCAACAGCACAATATATGTTTTTCTCAAGCTCACAAGAAACATTCACCAAGTTAGACCACATTCTGGGTCATAAAATACATCTTAAAAAATGTAGAAGAGTAAGAATGATACAAACTAATTCTAACTCACAATGGAATTAGACTAGAAATCAATGACAGAAAGATGGATGGAAAATCCCCAAAATGTTAGGAAATTTCAGAACACACTTCCAAATAACCCACAGGTCAAAGAGGTAGTCTAAACAGAAATAACAAAATTTTTTAAACTAAGTAGAATGAAAATATAACTTACCAAAATGGGTGGGTTATGATGAAAGGGAAATGTATAGCATTAAATGCATATATTAGGAAAGAGGAAAGGTCTAAAACCAGTAAAGTTTCCACCTTAGGAAACTAGAGAAAGAAGAGCAATTTAAACCTAAAGAAAACAGAAGAAAAGAAATAATAAATATTAGAGGTCAATGAAATTGAAAAGGAAAATAGTAGAGAAAATCAACAAAAGCAAAACTTGGTCCTTGGAAAATATAAATGAAATTGAAATTTCTAGCTTGACTAACCAAAAGAAAATGAGATGAGATACAAGCTATCAATATCAAAACAGGTATGGAGATGAGCTCATTTGAGCCTAGGATGGATGTGGCTGATTTTGGCCTTCTTGTTTCAGATTTCTCTCCCTTTAGAGGAGACCAACAAAACAAACTGAGTGAATGACTTTTCCAACCTTATTTTTTAAAATTGTGATGATACTTATAGAAAACTGGGCAAGTGGGCAAATGAATGAATGATAGATGAATGGATGGATGGAGAGGTGGATGGATGATGGAAGAATGGATTGATAAATGGGACATACTGCTGTAAACACATAGATAAGACTTCAAATGAAGGCTACTTTCTGGAATTTGCTAGCCTAGAGGGCTGAGAGAGGTAGTAGTAGCTCTGCTAGCCTGGCTCTTTCCTTTGTATACATATGAAAATAATTTGTCTTTAATATTAATAGTATTCATATATCTGATGCATCAGGAAAAATGTCAGAAAGCAGAAAGGAAACCCCAAACTCTAATAATTTCTTCAACCCACTCACACCCCTTCCCCAGTGATCCAGAGGCCTGCTCCTCCCTACCTCTGGGACTTCTGGATAGGAAAGGCGAGCTGTCATTCAGTCACTAGTTCCTGTCTTCCACTATCTCTCAGAGTTTGCTCAGATTCCTGTCCATTGAGTCGGTGATGCTATCCAACCATATCTTCTGATGCTGGGAAGGACTGAAGGCAAAAGGAGAAGGGGGCAGTGGAGGATGAGATGGGATAAGATGGAAAAAGGAGACCTGCAACTTAAAAGGAGGGTTGGCCAACGTGTGTCCACAGGAGGTCTGTCAGTGCATGGCAGTGGGCAGCAACCAAGGCCTGCTGCTGGCTCTAAAGCTTTTCCAGCTAGGCAGTAGATTCTGCCATTTCATGCCCCAGGACTCTTCACTAGCTTAATTATGAGCAGGGCAAACTGGACTTTCGGATCTGTTGGGAACTGGTGGTACTTCTTGCTCATTCAACAGCTGACATGTCAGGCACAGTCCAAGGTCCTAGAAATAGATAAAGGAAAGGGACTGATCCTTTCCCTTGAGGCAGAGGTCTTTTTTCATAGAGTCCTTCACTCGGTCAGCATTAGAGCACTTGAGATAGGATGGGCTATAGGCACAGTGATGCACAGGCAGACACGGCCCTGTCCTCCTGGAGCTGAGTCTAACTTGTTTAAAAGAAGTTGGTGCAACAGACAAATTTCTGTGGACACAAAAAGTATTGGCTTCTTCACAGAGAGGGTGGGAAATTCCTGATACTTGAAAAGAATTTTCATGGGTGAATGGAAATTGAATTGGAAGAATTTGACTTTTAAGGATTAAGGATTCTAAATTCAAACTCTGTGATTCATAAAATAAAGTTGATTTGTTACTGTATTTTTGAAAGTGGGCAGTCCTCGTACTTATCCCACTGCCTTGGGCTTTAGGAGTTAAATAGTTAGCATGCAATCACCAGAGGGAAAATCTAACCAGATATCAGCGAAAGGGATAGGAATATGTTTGACCTGAGAGATGCTTCCATTTCACCATGCCCAGAGCCCGGGTTTATTTTTCCAGTATGATTCATGTACCTGAAATAAGAAGCAGATTATATTAGAAGCTGATGTTCTAATATTGACTTAAAAATCCTGATCTTTACGCAAAAAACCTTTTATTCAGAGTTACTTCATTCATCATTCATACTCACACTATATTGAGTATTTTCTTTATATCAGACCTGTGCCGGGTGCTGGGAATCCAAAGATAAATATGACCTGGTCCCTGATATTTTGTGTCTAGAGCAGATACAAGATTTAACATATTAATTTAAGATTAATCCACATGCTATTATAATCCAATGGTGCCTATATCCCAGTATATTTAAAAACAAGGGGAGCCTGGGATTTTGAAAAGACTCATGGAGGAAGTGATGTCTGAGCTGGGTTTTGAAAAGAAGAGAGGGGAAGACCTTCTCGAAGAGGAAACAATATATGAAAGGTGCATGGGGACTTTTGACATCTGATGAACATCCTCTGACTGAGAAACATTGAATTCACAGTGTAGGATTGGTGGGGACAGGGACGAAAATAGGTTGGAGAACTATTGGCTAATAATGCTTAGATTATTATTATTATTATTGACTAATAATGCTTAGATGGGGCCCAGACATAAAGCTACTTTACAGAAGGCACAATTCTCTCACGATTCATCCCAAGATTCATGTAATATATGAATGACTGATTTTGCCTTCTAAAATAGAAAGTCGAACTCATAGGTATATAGATGAGCTGCAGTGTTTATAGCTATGAAATCTACTATTTCTCTGGCCATGTTTAGCACAAACACATGCCAAGTTATAGCCACCTCTGTAATTGAAATGGTTTGCCCTCAAGATACCTGGATAGATGCTGGAGAAGCAACATAGTTAAAGTGAATGCCAGTGAGATGGCCAAATGAGACAAGTCACCCCAAAATAATGTAAGGAGTGGCAACCAACACTTTACAGTGAAATTATGTTGTATAAAACTCTACTCTCATATTCCGTCAGCCCATCACGTGACCCTGGAAGGTGGAAATCCCCAAACCAAGACACCATCATGCCCAGAATTTCTCTAAGCATCCCCTGACCCTGTATGCCTTGTTGCTAGACCCAGGGCCAGAAGGCTGAGAGTGGGGTCAGAGGTCATAGGGTGAGTTCCTCCTGTATCCTCCAGCCACAGAACTCACTTATCCCAGGCCTTCCTCCACCTGTGAGGGGAGGACATATGCATTGGTGAGACAGAGGATGGAAATAAGCTACTCCTGGACATGATTTTTCACTGACTTAGATCCAGAGTGAATAAAAGACCTTAGGTAGTGAGTAGCAAAACCGCAGAGCATCAGATGTCTAAGAGAGTGTTGCGGTGTGTGACAAGAAGCGCCTGAGGGGGACGCTGCCCCAGATCCACAGCCTCCTACTCCACCGCCTCCTGGCACCTCTCTCCCCCACAGACAGTCTGGACAGGTGGCCGCTCCTAGAGTGTTGGCCCGAGAGGCCGTCGCTGCCAGCTCTGCAGCCTGTCTGCCCGAAGTGCTGGAGAGCTGACCTCCACCAGAGCCTCAATGACAGCCAGCTGGGGACGTCAGTAAAACTCATTATAAGTGATAGCAGCCTTCAACGCAGGCGTGCGACTCAGAGAAGTAATTCCTCCAGCCCCTCCCAGGCAGCTTTGGTGAAATTAAAGTGGGGATTGACATTCTCACGAATTTCCTATTTCCTGCCTGTGTTTATCAGAAATCTAGGTCATGACGGTGCCTCTCATTCACGTCCTCGCTGGTAAATGCCTTAGAAGGGCAAAACCTAAAGTTGGCAGCCTCCCTGCTTTTTCTTCCTGCTCCATGCCCTGTGGAGAGGAAGTGTCACAAAGGACGACCACACTGATACTCTGGTCTCAAGTGACTTCAGCACCTAGTCAAGAGGCCACGTCTGGGCTCTGCTGATGCTCACACCTGCTGTCATAAGCAAGGGGATGATTAGCTATGTGCCTGCCCTAAGCAGAGCAGCAGGCATGGTCTAGCATCAGGCAGAAATCCCTTGTCAGCTTCACCTTTTCTTGTTGACGTCTGAAGGTCATCTGGTGCTGCTGGGATGTACTGACTGGGTGTCCAGAAGCAAAGCCCCTCCTCTCCTTTCTCCCCAGTCTCCTAAGTACAAGTCAGAGTTTTTCCAGAGATGACACTGAGATTAGTAAAGAAATCATCACCTATATCAATGTTTCTCATCTAAGAACAGTTTTTATGATTTTATGAGATTAGAGTTTAACATTTTGTTGAAAAATGTTTTCAGTTTTTTAAAAGAAAATAATCACCTATGATCCCAGCATCTTAACATAATTATTTTCATTTCACATGTTTGGTTCCAGTCTCCAACAACAGCTAGACATTGTTCCTAGTTGTGATCAGTATGTAAATAATGTTCATTTCTCTTGTTTGTTTTTCCACTTAAAATCGAATGTTTGTAATTATACTTAATGCCTAGCAGCATATATTTTGCAGGGTTGCTAATCTGTGATTTCTTTATTTAATGTTTTACCAAAGAAGGGAGGACATTTATTTAGTTCCTTGTATTACATTCTTAGGGCTTCATTAGTGGCTCAGTTGGTAAAGAATACACCTGCAGTGCGGGAGACCACCTGCAACCCAGGAGACCCAGGTTCAATCCCTAGGATGGAATGATCCCCTGGAGAAGGAAGTGGCAACCCACTCCAGCATTCTTGCCTGAAAAATCCCATGGAGTGAGAAGCTTAGCAGGCTACAGGGCATGGGGTCACAGAGTTGGACATGATTGAGCACAAAGTTCTGTCTTTCTCTTCTATTACGTTCTTAGATTATAGTATATACAGTTTTGCTTCCTTTTGAATTTTTTTAGGAGTAACTCCAAAAGTGGGACGGCTTGTTCTTAATATGGACTGCCTTACAGGCTTTTTTAAAAGGATGACACCAATTATGGTACCACTGCTAGGACCCATGACCATTTTCGTTATGTACTAAAAGACCCGAAAGAGATGCTAAACTTATGGGGAAATTGTTTTTGTTTGTTGGTGAACTCTTTTCCATTTTTATTGATCTTTACTGGGCAGGCTTGAATAGAATCCTAAGGAAGAAAAGAATGAAAAATTCAGAGTGGGTAGTCTTGTAGAATAGATCCTGGTCTGTGACTCAGCAGTTTTTCCTTCACTTGTTTCTATTTCTGGTGGAGTGAGGATACCCTAAGAGGATGAGATGCTGGTAGGTCTGCACTCAGAACAAAAGCTGCTTTCCCTTAGTGAGGGGACAACTAGAGACGAGCCAAACAAAGAATTCATGAGAGCCACAAATAGCCTGATGGCTGACTGTGTCAGGAGAGGCATCCACCTAATGCTAAGCCTTTGGAGTCTGCTTGGGAGAATTCTTTCTCATCTGGAATTCTGAAATCTAGCAGCAGTGATCTCATCTTTCTGCCTTCCATCTTCTTTCTGGAGCATTCTTGCTGTGAGTTACTGGCCAAAGACAAATCTTCTGACAGATGTTGAGGTAGAGAATGATGTGGAGAGATCTACCTCCCTAAGAGAGAATGCTTGTGGGTGGTTACTGAGAATGCAGCTCCCAGATCATACCATGAGGGAAAGGGGCAGTCATCAGTGGTGCCTCATAGACACAGAGATAGAAGGTAGGCTAGCACATGTGTGTTGTAGTGATGCAGAGCATCGATATGGACTCACTTGGCTCTTTCCTCCAAATTAGGAGTTGTTAGGGTGTCGAGAGGGGCCTCCCTCGTGGCTCAGATGGTAAAGAATCTGCCTGCAATGGAGAAGACACAGGAGATGCAAGTTCGATCCCTGGATCAGGATGATCCCCTGGAGAAGGAAATGGCTACCCACTCCAGTATTCTTGCCAGAAGAATTCCATGGATAGAGGAACCTGGTGGGCTACAGTCCATGGGGTCGCAAAGAGTTGGACATGACTGAGCAACTAACACACACACACAAACACAAAACAGCGTGCTGAGATGTGCAGTGACTCTCATCTTCCAAAGACTGTACCTGCTGACTGCTCAATCCAGTCGAATAATCATTATATCCATTATTGCATAGTGTGTACAATTTGAGAAGTATATTTTAACGTATGTATTAGGTACAACACTGAGTGTCTCAGCCAAGGTCATCCAGCTGCAATGGAATAACAGCGTCACTTAGTCCTTGGCCCTTTGGGTCTGTCTCACAGTCTGTACTGTGAATGAACCCAGGCACTCGAATGAAGAGACATTCACCAATGAATGAATCCAGCTATCTTGCCACTTGGGCCCATACTCTCCTTTATACCCTGCAGCCATTATAGGATAAAACTAGGTTTGGTATAGCCTTTGTTCTACAGTAGTTCAGAGATCAAAGGGCAGGCATACTACCTAAAGATAGTGGATTCATCCAGAAGCCTCATTACCTCCTATGTAACTTCCATGTTTTAGGAAGTTTATACCCTCTATGAATATCTGTCTTTTTGCAAATGACAGAAGATAGAGCAGCCAATAATGTTGCTGATTGTCAAAGAGTTTACTGCTTTCCATGGTCTCCCTGGGAGGGAGATGCTGAAGATAGGAAAGTAGCACAGTTTTGGGGCTGTGTGGCCTTGGACAGCTCACTTAACCTCTCTGAGCTCCTTCCCATAAAAGAGGAATGATAACACTTGTTCCATGCACTGTCTTGAGAATTAAACGAATTGGTTCATACAGACCTCCCATGAACAGAGAGAAGGAAATGTGTTGTGAATCTTGAAAACTATCATCCTTCTTCCCATCAGCCTTAATACTGCTCCACTTGCCTGGACCCACTATAGGCACTATTCCATGTTCAATCTGCAGCCATTTGTAACTGGAAAACAAAACGTGCAAATTGTCTTCAATGTGGTGTTTTCTCTAATCTCTTGCAGGAGGTGCTTGAACTTGCTTTCTCGATCTTGTATGACTCAAACTGCCAACTGAACTTCATAGCTCCTGACAAGCATGAGGTAAAGGTCTCCAGGGGTTAATTTATGAGAGAATGTCATATTTTCTTGAGAAAAACAGCAGATAAAAAAAATACTGGAAAGAATTTTTTTTTTAAAGTCTACCTGAGAAGAATTATGAGCAAAGGCACATTTTGTTGACTTGGAATAGAATGAAAATCTCTCAAAAAACTGCAAATTAAAACAGATTCAACTTCTTCTTAGCTTAATCAAGATTTTATGGTAAAGAAGAAGGTATGAATCCTTCATAGGAAGGACATAACTGTTACAGAAAAAGTATCATCCTTAGCTATTGCTTGTTTTTTATTGAATATTTAGGTTTTGGTCAAAATTTTCCCATGATAAATTTGTCTCAATTCTTTAAAATGTTTTAAGAACTAGATTTTTTTTACCATGTTTAAGTTATTTTAAGAGGTTTAGGACTGTCTCTGCTGTTGGAATTTTATTTTTGAGATGCTTTTATTCCTTTTTGACATCTTGTTATATGTATAATTTGTTTCTCTTCTCGAAGCACACTGTCAGCTATATTTAAAATATTTAGCATAAATCTAGGAAAATGCATTTGTAAGATGAAGTAGCAGCTATGGCTGATTTAACTTTTTCTCTTGTAAACTAAAACCAAACATCATGCTTGAAACTCTTATTTTTAGATGATACCATTCAAATTTTTGTTGTACATGTGGTAACATAAAAAGCTTTTAGAAAGGAAGGAACATTTTAATAGAACTTGAATTTTGTTCCCCATTTCCCTAGGGAGACTTAACTCATTTAGAAGTTATTCTGTATTTGTTTTTGTTTTTTACTGGTTTGAAGCTTTTGAATAAAATTGTACATCCCCAAAAGAGAAGAAAGATTAGATGCAAATCCTGCATTTAAAGTGGTGCTTAAATATAATTCTGTGTTACTTGACATTTAGTTCATGGAAGGGAATGACTTTGTCTTCATCTTCTTGAAAATAGATACCGTGTCCTACCATTTCTCTTTTTAAATAAAATTGTGGTGGTACACAGGCCACCATATTCAAGATATATACAGATATATAGGAAACCACTTAAAATAGTAGAACTGTGGATGCTATTTAAATCTATAGAAGGCTGTTTTGCCCAGTGTACATTAATTCCAGATAAGGATAAATGCTCTGAGACTGCCAAATTTTTATTCATATCTGCCACTTTTTATTGATGCAGTGAGGAGGAAAATGCCATGTACTTGTGAATGCTTTTAATTTCTTCAGACCACTTTCATATCTATTACCTCATTTTATTTGCATAATTGCTCCATAAAGCAGAAAGTTCTATTACAGATATCCTCATTGATCAAAGGAGGAGAGAGAAGCCTCCCAACATTGACTACCTCAACAGTAGTAAAGACAATAGTAATTATAACTGGAATACTCTGAGCCAGGCACCACTCAATGCTTTGTGTGCCTCACCTCCCTCAACCTTCATTCTGTAACTGTAAAAGAAACAAGCTAATGTTATTTCCATTTTATTAAAAAAAAGTAATGAGCCACAGAGAACTTAAACATTTCCCAGATCAAACAAGTAGTAAGTGATAGAACCTGAATTTAAACCATGGGGATCTTGTTCCAGAAACACCTTCAATCTGAGCCCCGTCCTGCATGGCTTGGAAGGGAGAAAGCAGGACCTGGACTCAGAACTTCTTGCCAGTGTCCATCCCCTAGCTTCAGCAATTATCAACTCATAGCCAATGAGGTTTCCCCTATTCGCCCACCCACACCCAGCTTCCATACCCCAGATTATTTTCAAAGCTCATCCAGATATCGTCATTTTATTTGTAAATATTCCCCTTGTGCATCTCTAAAGACCTGATGGACTGTAACTTGCCAGGCTTCTCTGTCCAGGGGATTCTCTAGGCGAGAATACTGGTGTGAGATGCCATGCCTTCCTCCAGGGGATCTTCCCAACCCAGGGATTGAACCCATGTCTTTTATGTCTCCTGCATTGGTAGATGAGTTCTTTACCACTAGTGCCACCTGAGAAGCCCTATATTTTAATAGGTTACCATTATTGCCATTATCAGTGCCCAGATTATCTTACCTCGAGAAAGTCGATCTGGCCCCATCACTTGATGGCAAATAGATGGGAGTAAAAAATGGAAACAGTGACAGACTTCATTTTCTTTGTCTCTAAAATCACTGTGGATGGTAACTAAAGCCATGAAATTAAAAGACACTTGTTCCTTGGAAGAAAATCTGTGACAAAGCCAGACAGTGTATTAAAAAGCAGAGACATCACCTTGCCAACAAAGGTCTGTATAGTCAAAGCTATGGTTTTTCCAGTAGTCATGTATGAATGTGAGAGTTGAACCGTGAAGAAGGCTGAGCGCTAAAGAATTGATGCTTTTGAACTGTGGTGTTGGAAAAGACGCTTGAGAGTCCCTTGGACTGCAAGGAGAGCAAATCAGTCGATCCTAAAGGAAATCATCCCTGAGTATTCATTGGAAGGACTGACACTGAAGCTTCAATACTCTGGTGACCTGATGTGAAGAGCTGACTCACTGGAAAAGATTGAGGGCAGGAGAAGAAAGGGGGCAACAGGATGAGATGGTTGGATGGCATCATTGACTCAATGGACATGAGTTTTCACAAACTCCAGGAGACACTGAAGAACATGGAAGCCTAGCATGCTGCAGTCCATGGGGTGGCACAGAGTCGAACATGACTGAGCAACTGAACAACTACAGAGAAAGTAGGAATACCTTCTGGTTGGCTTCTGAGTCCTATTGACAGATGACTCTGGCAGCTTTCAGGCATTCTGGCATGACAAGATACTCCAGATTCTTCTTGTGCATTTCCTGCCTTTTCTCTATGGAGTTTTGACTCCTTTTGTTATTTAGCAACCAGAATCTGGACATTCAATGCCTGTTACTATTGGGTTGGTGATTATTTTTAGGCATTTTTGGAGACAGAGCTTGGAGTTATGTTTTTAAAAGACAAAATCCATCATAAGTTTATATTGAAATTTCCAACTCAGATTCAGTACTACATTTTTGTTTATTGATCGTGATGCTTTTTTAAAAAGTTTTCTGTGCTTGCTGCTTCTCAAAAGAAAAGCACCACAGAAGTGTTCTTGTGGGTTAAATTAATCTCTCCTAGGAGCTAGCCAGGACTGGGAAGGCTGTGTACAAAGAGTGGCAGCCCCAGCACTTAGGGATTTACATGAAACAGTGTCTAAACTGGAAGGGGCCTTAAAGAGCATGGGGTTCAGTGGTGCTTCTAAATGGAGATACGTCAGAATTAGCTGGAAGCTTTTCTAAGTAAAACTTCCTGACCTAAGATTTATAAGATCAAGATCTACAGAGTAGGACCTGGGTATCTATTTTTATCAAGATTATTTATGAAGAAAGACACATTTAGATGTGTCTAGAATCTATCTAGGAGAAGGAAATGGCAACCCACTCCACTGTTCTTGCCTGGAGAATCCCAGGGACGGGGGAGCCTAGTGGGCTGACGTCTATGGGGTCACACAAAGTCAGACACGACTGAAGTGACTTAGCAGCAGCAGCAGAATCTATCTGAGGTATTCACGAGATCACTAATAATTCCAGAAACCCCTTAGTCCTCAGCTGATATTTAGATGGGTTAAGTGCTCTGCCTGAGATCCCATAGTCAAGGCTGAACTGAAGCTCTCCAGTTCAGGACTGCCCTGCTCAGACTTAATAACACACCCATGGTACACTCCTCGGCTTAACAAGGGGCACCACCAGTGTGCATCAGGGTAGATTTCTAAGCCATCATTGTGACTTAAGATCTGTATAGTGCTTGCCATCTTGTAGTGCTTTTATGTTGAGATCTGCTATCATATTCTGGAACATAGCCCAGGTAACCACAGGGCAAAGGACAAGCCAAGTAGGGTCTGGAATTGCAACTTGACCCAGTAAAGGCAAGAAAGGAATCTAGAACACATTCTAGAAGGAAGACCAGTCCTACAGGAAGAGCAGTGAAATTGCTATCAAAGAAGTCCTGTATAGGACTGGGACATCCTAAAAGGTGAACCAAGCACAATATCCAGAATGCAGGCAGTTTTCTGATGCTGGCAGCAGAGGCTAGTTCTTCCCCAGGTATTATGGCTTTGATACCAGATCAGGGCAGGATTTCAGCCTCTGAAGGGAAGCTAACAAGAGCAAGGCAGGTCCTCAGATAAATGAAGCATAGTTCATATCCTACTGGAGAAGCAAAGGGCATGATTAATTTTTAATGAGAGGGGAAGAACCAAATTCTCAGCTGGGTACTATGGAGTGCTTTCCAAAACAGGTGATGTCCCCAAGGACCAGACTCCAAAGACCTGGAGGAGAAAACCCTTAGAAACCAGAAACCCAGGCAGAAGAGGTCCGTAGACTGGCAGCTAAGCCACTTTCCATTAAGATCACCCAATAATTTTAGCCATTTTGTCTACCAGACCTTGGGCAGCACTGAGCTATTCCTAAATCTTTTGCTAAGAAATACAAAGGTGGGACCACCATTAGCCCCAGTGGGGTTCGGCTGTCATTTTGAGTGCAGGAATCAAACAGGATAGTCAGATATTAGCTCTAGATTAGGAACTTTGCTTGGAGTCAGGAGAGTGGCAAGTTTGATCTGATGTTGAGTCCAGGAGTGTTAGGATATATTCTACCAATACCTTTAACTCTTTGATTCACTGGTGGGATGTTAGAGATATTCTGTTGCACAGGCAGAAAAAACTCAAATCCTGCTGCTGCTATGCAGGGAGGCATTATTTGTACAGAAGAGTGCAGACAATGGAGGCAGATTGCATAAGTTCAAATCCCACCTACTCCACATACTACCAAGTGACTTAATTTCTTATTGTCTCAGTTCCCTCATCTGTAAAACAGAGATGCTAACAGAAGTGTCAACTTTATAGAGGTGCTGACTATCAGATGATGATGTAGGCAAAGCCCTTAGCACAGAGCCCAGCCCTTGCTGAGTGATCAGTCGGTGTTAGCAATTGTTATTCCTCTTGTAATTGTCATCAGTCGTTCTCATTGTCATCTTCTTTCTCCCCAGTACTGTATCTGGACAGATGGGCTGAATGCGCTGCTGGGGAAAGACATGATGAGTGACCTGACACGGAATGACTTGGACACGCTGCTCAGCATGGAAATCAAGCTCCGCCTCCTGGACCTGGAAAACATTCAGATCCCTGACGCGCCTCCACCCATCCCCAAGGAGCCCAGCAACTATGACTTCGTCTATGACTGTAATTGAAGCACCCTGGGCCCAGATGCACCCCCCTCCACAACTGGAAGATTTAGCTAATAGGAGAGAAGAATGAAAAGGCGCCCACACTGTGGAATCCACTGTGGTCAAGGGACGCTGTGGGTCCACACTTCCTTTGGCCTTGCCTCCTCTAACTCTGGCATTTTTCTGCCCCTCCCTGGCATCCTGCTCATCACCCTGATTCTGTTTCTAGACTCCATTGCTTTAGGTCACCTCCTGTCACTGCAGTCAAAGGTGGGAGAAAAGCAAAATCCACCGCCAATGAGAGAGCCAAAGGGCCCTTCCATCTTCATTCCAGCAGGCAAGTCCTCCCCTCCTAAAAGCTGCAAGTCAGTGGCCCAGACCTCCTCCCAATCTGCAGCCAGACACAGGGGTGTGCCCCAAGCTCTGGGTCTGGAAAAACCGGAAACGGTCTAGCTACTTGAGAAGACAAACACCACCCCTTGTTCCCGTTCTCTCTAGGGTCTGCTCACACCACCAGTTCCATGTGAATTGAAATCTGCTTCTAAATGCCCTCCTTTTCCCATCCTGGCCTCTGCCTGCCTGGTTCCTCTCTGGTTCCAAGAGCAGAAGCGGTTGCCTCATCCTAGTTCTCACAAGCGTTGGGTCACCAGACACAATCTGAGGGTCCCGTGGCCACATCACGTCTGCCCTGTGGCTGTGACCACCCTTCCTGTCTCTCAGCTAGTCTTGGGTTTCTTCTCCCTGCCCCAGCCCTGACCTGCCTTCCTCATTGCCACACACTCCTCCAGCCCCTTAGCTGAAAGCACAATGCTGAACTCAGTCATCCTGCTTCATCTCTAATGTACTAAATCTAAAAGCCTCGATGACAGGCAGTTGCTATCTAAGGGTCTGGGGGGGTTCTGCTGCAACACAGGTTTCACAAGATGGTCAAGCTGTCAGACATCCAAGTTTACATCATTGTAGTTATTACAGGTATTGACAATTTGCAAAGGGTTTGGGTTGTTGGTTTTGGGGGTTGGTTGTTTTTTTTTTTTTTTGCTTTCTTTTTGTATAAAAGAGTCTAACATTTTTTGCCAAACAGATATATATTTAATGAAAAGAAGAGATACATAAATGTGTGTACTTTCCAGGTTTTTTTTGTTTAATTATTTGAGTCCTAAACATCTTCCTGAGAATAACATTCCCCTAAACATGCTGTGGAATAAAATTAATTGTGATGAGTTGGAGAGCTGGTGTTTTGATTTGGTAATTTAGGTCCTTGCTGCTCAGTCATCAGCATCACTGAGAGCTTCTTGAAACTGCAGAATCTAAACCTCACCCCAACCTTGAAGAATCAGGTGATGCTCATGCATATTACAGTTTGAGAAGCACTGGCTTTGGGGACTCTTGACCTTCGCTGGATCACCATAGGCTGTGAGCATCAGTAAAAAGTGATACTTCTAAGAAGACCATCTCAAGTCAGCTAGAAAATCAGACCCACTTCGTAAAAATATAATGGAGGGACTTCCCTGGTGGTTTAGTGGTTAAGACTGTGCTTCCACTGCAGGGGCATGGGTTTGATCCCTGGTCAGGGAACTAAGATCCCACATGCTGTATAGTGATCATATTAATTACTTTTAAAAAACAGATATTAAAAAAATTAAAATATATATATTTATAATCTATTCATTTTACACTATTACCTCCTGTGACTTTATCTTTTATTTTTTCTTACTTACCATTATATAATTTATAAAACTGACCAAATGAAACGGACCATATTTTGAAGGCACAGATTTAGCAATGGAAAAGAATGCAGACCCACAGACCAGAAATAAATCAAGCCAGAACTAGATAAATCTAACCATGAATTAATGAAATATGGGTCAGAGCCCAGCAAAGGATTTTTCTGAGGTTATTTCCATTGGAGGCATATCTGTATCATAAACTCCAACAGCTGGAAGAAATGTCAGGAAGGTCCAAATGATATGGAATTCACAGGACAAGCCACTCTTGACTCAAGGCAGAGTTGTTAGATGCCTTCAGGTCACTGCTCATTATTGTCACCAAGATGTGCAATTACAGGCTAACCTGGGTTGAGATGATATGAACCCTCCATAAATTACAGGAAAAAAATTTCCTTTATGATCCATAGCAATTCCCAAGTAATTATGCTTCCCATCAATGCACTCACGCCTGAGTGTCAGGTTGAAGCTTCCTTTACATTAAGTTTTGATGATATTAACACGTATGTCCTTCACGTCAGGAGCATTTATAGATTTACCCATCAGCCTGATAAAATGATAAATGGTAGGTAAATGAAAGAAGACAGAGTCAGACCATTTGTTACTTAGGAGTTAGCAGACTTCATTGATGAAAAAGGGAATTTTTTGGACCAAGATACCCGAGATCTGGGGAGTCTTGCTGGGAAGAACAAGCCCTTCTCTCTTCTGTTGCTCTTGCTTTGGTGCATTAAATAGAAATTAACTCTTTCATGGCTATTAAGAAGAGCATTCTTCCACCTTGTAGACCCGCCTTTCAAGGACTAGTGAGATCCTGAGAGTATGACCTCATTCCTTCATTTTGTGGCAATGTGATGCTGGGTTACTGTCCACATTTGGCCACCCCATCTTCTCAGCCTACACTGCCCAGGGCTTTCCCAGCCATTAAGCCTCCCACCCCCCAGCTCAGCCCCCGTCGCCACAGGATTCTAGGCCTGGACAAATTAGCCAAGCCAAAGGAACACTGAAGGAAGAGCCCAGTTTTGTCATTATGGCTAAGCCGCATTCTCCAATTCAGCTTTACCTGAATAAAATTGATCATTGAATTTTAATCTATTGGTACTTTAGTTCCTCTCTTGCTCTTATTCAGAAGCTATAGGGAAAAGGGTAATTAGTTGGCATTCTCAAACTCAAAAGTGACTACTAAGGATAGGAAAATCTGATGACTATTGCAGAAGAAAAAGTGCATGGCCGAATGTTTCTGGAGTCTATTTGCAAACCCACTCTAAACCACTTTTCAACTATCAGCTAAATTGCTTCTTACCTGCCTGTTCTATAATGAACTGAGTAGTTGACATATATACCTTTGTTCCATCTTATCGTAGTTATGAAGTATTTGGCTTGCCCAATGGCTCAGTAGGTAGAGAATTCACCTGTAATAAAGGAAACATGAAAGACATGGGTTCAATCCCTGGGTGATAATTAACATAAACCTTTAACTTAAAGGAAATAAATGTTCATACAATAATAAAAAAAAATGTTTGGAGCTAGACACTAGGAATGCAACAAGAATAAAATTTGTAAAATCAGAAAAGTTATAATCAAGTAATTTAATTGAAAAACCAAATCATTGAAGGGAGCCAGGATGGGAGACTTTAGGAAATGATAGCAAGGGGGGATCATGAGACAGTGAGTTTGCTGAATTTCTCCAATCAAAGAAATGAGAGCCGTTTACCTCATTCTAAAATGGAAATTTCATGATTTGAGAAGCCTGTGGATGATGGGGCTGGAAATTGTCATCACTCCATAAATAAATCCCCTCCAGCCCTTTGGTCCTCTATCCATGCCCTCTCCTTCTCTCACATCCTCTCCTTTCCTTTTTGATACACAGTGGCTGAATGATCCACTGGTAGTATAGTTAAACTACATGGCATATTTCAACCAATTCAGCCTGTTTTATGAAAAAGGAAAATAATAATCAAAGGAGGAAAGAAGAACATTTTTAATTTGAACTTACTCTTGAATTAAATATTTGAGGTAACTTGCAATAAAACCACAATTTAAAATAAATTTGGGTATAGGTGGGTGGAACAAATATGGTATAATTCTATATGAAAATGTAGCAATACTCTATATTTTAATGGAATGAAATTTTTTCTGACATAAAAACGTAAAATATAAAATGAACACTTTGAGTGTTTTTTTTCTTTTAATTCAGAAAAATAATCAAAACACACCCAAATGAAGGAAGGAGATAATTCTACTAGAAACATGATGCAAATAGAGATGATACCCTTGAATGTTAATCTAAATCTGGGCTTCCTGGACGTCAGTGTAAACAAGGAAGCAAGTTGGGATATATAGCTCTCATTTAAAAATTAAATTTCTATCACCTCATAAGAAAATATCCTTTTCCAGGCACCAAATCTCAGAGAAGACGTGCTATTAAAAGCACTTATCACCTTCAACAGGCTTCTCTGGTGGCTGAGACGGTAAAGAATCTTCCTGCAATGCAGGAGACCCAGGTTTGATTCCTCAGTTGGGAAGATCCCCTGGTGGAGGGCATGGCAAACCACTCCAGTATTCTTGCCTGGAGAATCCCATGGACAGGGGAGCCTGGTGGGCTACGTCCATGGGGTCGCAAAGCATTGAACATGACTGAGCAACTAAGCACCATCGATAAATACTTCTTAGTAGATGCTATTTGTCTGTTGTTCTGGTTTTTGTGGAATGGAAAGAGTCACCCTTGCAACCCCTTGAGGGGTGAAAGCGATGGAGATCAGAGAAGGAGCCTTCTGAATGTTGGAGTCAGCTTAGAGACTCCTAATAGAGTCCCTAATAGAAGAGTCCCTAATAGAAGAATCGGAAGAGGATTCTGGGAGTCAGGCAACCAGGGAAAGTGTGGCCAGAACAAATGGCTCAGGAATGAATGGAGTGGGCCCAGGACTAGGAGATGTGCTGGGCAGAGAAGAGCAGGGTCCAGAACCAAATCTCGTGCACTTCCATTAGGCTCTCACTGTGCACCGTGAACAGGGTACGGTGATACAAAAGTAAGAAATGACCCTGCCTTCCAGAGGCTCACGACCTAGAACAGGAAGGACAGACAAATAAGTGCAACCCATGGCTCAAAGGGCCATAATGTAGAGAACGCTAAGCTAGTCCACTGAGCTAGTACAGGAGGCGACTGCTTCCACTTAGAGGGAGTGAGGCCTGAGCCAGGCTTGGAAGGATGAGCAGGAAGCCACCAGGTGGCTAGGGAAAGAAGGGCAGGCTCATTCCGTACTCATCCTGTGGGTTCCAGTTTGGTCGTCACTTTCCCCCGACATCAAAGTTAAGGTTGTGGGCTCCTGCTCTGTGCTCCCACAACCACCTCCGCCTACCCTGTGGTGATCATATGAGTTTCCACTGTCTTCCTCACTGGCTGGGAGCCCCATAAAAGAAGACACCTAGCTAGCTGTTCTCACCACTCTCATACCCCACCTTGAACCCAGTGCTGGGCACTTAACTGCTTTCCTTCAGCGCTAAGAGAATTGATCAAGGGCGTGAGCCATTAGAAAGTTCAAAAGGATTATGGCTGGAGCAGACATGAGTGTGGGAGAGAGAACAGTAAGAGATGAGCTTGGAAAAGAGGGCAAGGACCTTGAATGGCAGGCCTGAAAGTTGGAACTATATTCTTTATGTGGCCAAAGCCACTGACATAGATACTTCGGTAAATAGCCATGACCTGTCACTACTTTTGATCTGGCCACAGCA